TCTGCTGGACTATAGTGCCCATGGGAGACCCAGAATGCACCTGTGTGCTGACGACCCCCAGTTTAGCACAGAAGGTTTACTGCATCTCAGCATGGGCCCCTGACATGCCCAGTCTCCTCCTGGCCAGTCCCCACCAGGGTGTGGTCCTAGGTCAAGGCCCCCACCTGTCATGGGTACCTGCCATAGGCAACGGTTCCCCTCATTCCTGGAGCTAGGCTCTCTCCCACATCTACAGCCCTCCCCACCCCCCACAGTGGAAACTGACTGTTTCCCTACCTCCGCTCCTCTGTGCCTCTCATCCCTTTGCCACACTGAAGTGTGAATAACCATTTTCTTATTTTGAAAATTGCGTTTCAAATGAAATTCAATTTTCCTGTCAGGGTTCAAGGCCTGGCCTCCCCGCAGCATCATCCTGGCCCAGGTGGCTTTTCTTCAGGTTGGCAAACCCTCAGGGCCTTCACACAGCTGTTCCTCTCCTCGGGACCCTCCCACTGCCACCACTCACACTGGTGTATCCCACCCAGGACCTAGTGGTGTCTGCCCAACCATAAACAAACTAGGGCTTCACATTTCTTGTTTCTTACATGGTCTAAGATCTGGTTAAACAGAAGTGTCTGGATTTAACTTTGCCTTTCTGCAGCATTAATGTTTACTAACTCCAAACTTCACAGGTGTTGACTGTCTTTCACATGCAGATAGATTCATAATTAGAACTGTGCATAGATAAGAATGCTGACAGACACTGTGAAAGGTATGAGACTATGCTATTCAGGTTCATCCACCTTGCTCTCAGTCTCCAACACTGGGAACGCTGCGTTGGCCGGGAATCCAACCTGGCCAACCGTGAACTGCTTGGAAGGCAGCTACGCTCACCACTATACCACCAACTCTGCACATGTATATGCAGTACACATGTATTAAAGAAAGAGCACCTGTGATCCCTCCATCCAGAAATAACCCCAACTGTTGATACTGAGATATTTCTTTTTGGTATTATTTTTTCCCATATCATTAATATTTTGTACAGTATTCTTATAAAATGTTATTTATTCATACTGTTTATTTAAGTTTATGGACAGTTTCTCTAACTTTTCATGAGAATTTTCCTATGGCACTAAATGTTCTTCAAAAGAATTTGTAGTGGTGCATAAGCTTTCTGTTATTTAACTCCTATCCTGTCATCAGGTATTTGGTTATCTAAACTTGTTCATTATACATTTTGAAGAAAATGTTAATATATACTTTTTCCCTGTGTGGTAAAGTATACATGGGCTTTCCTGGTAGCTGAGCAGTAAAGAATCCACCTGCAATGCAGGAGATGTGGGTTTGATTCCTGGGTCAGGAAGATCCCCTGGAGAAGTAAATAGCAATCCACTCCAGTATTCTTGCCTGGAAAATTCCATGGACAAAGGAGCCTGGCTGGCTACAGTCCATGGGGTTGCAAAAGAGTTGGACATAACTAGCAACTAAACAACAACAAAGTATACATAACATAAAATTTACCATTTGAATCATTTTTAAAGGAAATCAACCCTGAATATTCATTGGAAGGACTGGTGCTGAAGCTGATGCTCCAACACTTTGGCCACCTGATGCAAACAGCAGCCTCATTGGAAAAGACCCTAAATGCTGGGGAAGACTGAAGACAGGAGGAGAAGGGGGCAACAGAGGATGAGATGGTTGGATGCCATCACCGACTCAATGAATGTGAATTTGAGCAAACTCTGGGAGATGGAGAAGGACAGGGAAGCAGTTCACGGGGTTGCAGAGTCGTGTCCGACTGAACGACTGAACAATAATCATTTTTAAGCATACAGCTCAGTAGCATTAAGAACATTCACGTTGTGAAACCAGAATATAAAGATTTTAAACATATTAATAAATCTCTGTCCATGGAATTCTCCAGGCAAGAATACTGGAGACTGTTGCCGTTTCCTTCTTCAGGGGATCTTCCCTACCCAGGGTTTGAACCCAGGTCTCCTGCATTGCAGGCAGATTGTTTACTATCAGAGCCACCAGGGAAGTCAGGGGGGGAAACGCCAGCTGTAAAGATGCCAGATTGGGTGGCAGTGAGCCTCCTCTGGTCCAGCAGAGGCTGCATGGGCAGGAGAGAGACTGACACTAAATTTTGTGAAACTTCAAGTCTGGCCTTGACTCCTGTCTTCCTGCAGGTTCTGTCCGGAGTCTCCTTCAAACACCTGCCTCTTCTCCTGCGAGCAGCTTCCTGACAGACACATACCACCCGTTTCTTCTTCTCAAACTTTCTCCACATGAAGTCAATCTCACATCTTCATTGGAGACTGCTCTGTTGTATGTGAGCTCTGGGTGTCTTCCATCCATCAGGCCCAGTTCACTTCAGGTCCGAAGAAGCTCCAGGACTCCCCTCACAAATCCCGTCTCTATTTAGAAACCATGGATGCATCTGGGAGCAAGAGGCTCACTGCCACCCAATCTGGCATCTTTACAGCTGGCGTTTCCCCTCCTGGCTTCCCTGGTGGCTCTGATAGTAAACAATCTGCCTGCAATGCAGGAGACCCGGGTTCAAACCCTGGGTAGGGAAGATCCCCTGAAGAAGGGAATAGCAACAGTCTCCAGTATTCTTGCCTGGAGAATTTCACAGACAGAGGAGCATGGCAGGCTATAGCCCATGGTGTCGCAAAGAGTTGGACAGGACTGAGGGACTAACACTTTCCCTTCACTTCAGCAGTGGCTTTAGTCACACACCTCTCTGTAATCATGGGATGGCCTGCATTCTTAACATTATCAGTGTCTCCAGGATGGCAAGCCTATGTGAACAGCTTGTCCTTGGTCATCTTTATATCCTTGGAATCTAGACATCTTTTGGCACACAGTAGGCATTCAACAAATGCTTGCTAACTATAAACTTCCAAGCATGAATTAAAGCCTGCTGTGTACTGTGCATAGTCGTTCAGTCCTGTCAGACTTTTTGTGGCCTCGTGGACTGTAGCCCGCCAGGCTCCTCCGCCCATGGGGATTCTCCAGGCAAGAATACTGTAGTGGGTTGCCACGCCCTCCTCCAGGGGAATCTTCCTGACCCAGGGATTGAACTTGGGTCTCCTGCATTGCAGGCGGATTATTTCCTGTCTGAGCCACCAGGGAAGCCGGAATTTAAGCCTAGGAGTATTAAAAAAACAAACAAAAAACCCCAAAACCGTTCTGACACTACCTGCATTTCTGGGCTCAAATGTCATTAATTCCGCACCTCTCTAATGGGACTGTTAAAACCCCTGCAATGGCAAAGGCTGCGGCACTGCGTCCACCCCAGAGCACATCATGGCTCCACACAGGGCAGCCGTCTGTTGCACCCACATCCACGCGCTTTCCCAAGGCGTCAGCTACTCATTTCCGGGCTTTGCACTTTGGACTCACAGGTACCTTCCCTGTTTCCGTCCCGGGCTCCCTGTCACTCGCCAGGTCGGGCTACATTCCCTGATTAGTCACCAAAATGCACTATTAGGCAAGTTTCTTTCTCTGGAACCTAACTTTCAGGAGAAAGCCTGTTTAGCACATTGGAAACAAGAAAAAACTATTAAAAACAAACAAAAAACATGAAAAAACTAAATTCTATCTCCATCTTTTCACTTTTCCAAGCTGGGGACACGCCGAGGCACCCGGGCGGCCCGCCCCGCCTTGTGTCCCCTGGGCCGGCGCCACGCCCGCGTCCCCGCAGGAGCTCACGGGCAGCGGGGGCGTCTGCTGGCCGCCGGCGGCGCCCGCCGCGGCGCGGGGCCCAGCCCTCCCCACACGGTCGGCGCGGTCCCCGCCCGGCCTCTACCCCGGACCTTCAGCTGACTGCCCGGCCCGACCGGTCGGCCGCAGCGGCGTCCACGCACCTGCCTGAGGCTCCGGCCAACTCGGGCGCTGGCAGCCCCGAGTTCTCGGCTTCCAACTCCCGGGGCTTCAGGTCTCGGGACTCCCGGGTCCGGTCGCTTCCGGATTCCGGGCGCGTCCCTCTCCGGGTTCTGGGGTTCCGGCGCCGCCCTGGACTGGCAGGGCCGCGGACGGCGACAGGACTGCGCGAGGCTCTTCCGGCGTCAGGACTCATCTTTCATCTTTCAGGCGGCATTTGGGATATGAGGAGAACTCCAAACTTCGGAGTTTGGGGAAAGCGGTGGTGGTGCTGCCTGAGGAAGGAGGGCAGTTTTCCGGAGCGGGAAAGGAACAATTTCGAGAGGATTTGAGATTGGGGAAACATGAGGCTAATTTTAGTGCAGGATTCTCAGAGTTTGTAGTTCTTGGTAGTGTTACTGAGTAATTAGAAATAGGTGTTTTCCTTGGTAGCTCAGACGGTAAAGAATCGGTCTACCAATTCTGGAGACCTGGGTTCTATCCCTGGGTCGGGAAGAACCCCTGGAAGAGGAGGGCATGGCAACCGACTCCAGTTATTCTTGCCTGGAGAATCCCATGGACAGAGGAGCCTGGAGGGCTGCAGTCCAGTGGGGAGGGTGTGTTTGTGTGCGGGGGTGGGGTGGGGGGGTGTCGCACAGAGTCAGACGGGACTTATGGACTAAATAAGGACAACAATGTGCCATTCCAGAGAGGAGGGGCTGGCCACTCACTGAATAGAGGGGCGATCAGTTCAGTCTCTCAGTCGTGTCCGACTCTGCGACCCCATGGACTGCAGCACGCCAGGCTTCTCTGTCCATCACCAACTCGCGGAGTTTACCCAAACTCATATCCATCCAACCATCCTATCCTCTGTCGTCCCCTTCTCCTCCTGCCTTCAGTCTTTCCCAGCATCAGGGTCTTTTCCAATGAGTCAGATCTCTGCATCAGGTGGCCAAAGTATTGGAGTTTCATCTTCAGCATCAGTCCTTCCAGTGAATATTCAGAACTGATTTCTTTTAGGATGGACTGGTTGGATCTCCTTTAGTCCAGGGGATTCTGAAGAGTCTTCTCCAATGCCACAGTTCAAAAGCTTCAATTCTTTGGCACTCAGCTTTCTTTGTAGTCCAACTCTCACATCCATATATGACTACTGGAAAAACCATAGCTTTGACTAGCCAGACCTAATGGGAAATGATAAAATTCTCCAAATAGTGAATAAAATGGGAATAAAAAAGATGTAGAAAGAATATGGATTTGAATCCTGACTTTACTACTTAATTCCCAGGGGATTATGGACAAGCTACCTTACAGCAGCAGTCCCCAACATTTTTGGCACCAGGGACCAGTTTCATGGAAGATAGATTTTCCACAGAAGGGGTGGGATGATTCAAGTACATTACATTTATTGTTCCCTTTATTTCTATTATCTTTACATCATCTCCACCTCAGATCATCAGGCATTAGATCCCAAAGGTTCAGGGCCCCTACCTTACAAGATTGTGTGAGAATCAATTTAGCTAACATCAGCAAAAATGGTACAAGGTCCATCCCTACCGCAAAACAATTTTGGGGAACTGTGTAGGGCAACATGTGGGAGCTTAGTTCCCTGACCAGGGATCAAACACTTATCCCCCTGTAGTGGAACCTCGGAGTCTTAATCACTGGACCACCAGGGAAGTCCCAAAACAGTTTCTTAAATTAATTTTTGAAACATCTTTTAAAACTTGACAAAACCTGTCAGAAACTACCTTACCAGATCCTAGAAGATAGTCAAAGGTTTACAGCAAACAAGCAGATGTATAAATGTTATAGACTGGGGTCCTTGGACTCTCTAAAAATGTTTATTTTTATCTTTGGCTGCACTGGGTCTTCATCATGCGTGGATTTTTCTGTAGTTGTGGCGAGGGGGCTACTCTGTTGGGGTGCACATTGTGGTGGCTTCTCTGGTTATGGAGCATGGGCTTAGTTGCTACAAGGCATGTGGGATTTTCGTAGACCAGAGAGGGAACCAGTGTCCCCTGCATTGGCAAGCGGATTTCTATCCACTGTACGACCAGGGAAGTCCCCTTGGACTCCTTATCGATAGAAATTGATGAGGTCAGACTTTGTGCTGCAGTAAGAGGACGTGAAAACAAACATCAGGTGGCCCTGCTCCAGGAGCTGGGGTGACCTGGTTCTTTAAATAGGGTGAGGGTAGGAACTGATCCGAGGGAGGCTTAACTTGGGTGGTCTGCCCACCCTTGCAAGGATCCGGCACAGGACCCTTCTTTTGCTCTCAAGAGCACAGGGCTGGAGCAGGTGGGATTAGAGCAGGTGGCTGGCATAGGCTGCAGCACCAGTCAGAGCTGCATTGCCTCTGATGTGCTCCTCAGCAAGTGCACCGATGCCTCCTCTACCCCGTTTAGGGGTCTGAGCCTGTTCTGTGCCTCCCAGTCTTGCAGTCACCTCAGGTGCTGCACCTTTACCCTAACATGGAGCTGTGGGTGTGTGCTGGGCTGTGTGCTGGGGCGGTTCTAGGAAACCAGCAGAACCCAGGCAGCGTCACTCTGCTTCCTCTTGTTTCTGGAGTAAGCAGGCTTGTGCGTGTCCCTCACGAGTGGAGTCTAGGGTTCTTATAGCCTTCCTATTAGTTCCACTGGTTTTCATGCCACCTAAGGGGGTATGTCTTCCCACTGTCAGACACTAGGACTAGGGTGCCCAATAGTGGCTAAAACCGCCCCTTCCCCAGGAAAGGTCTTCAGGCCTGTGTCACTCTCTCCTCTTTTGTGTCCCCTTCCAGGTTGCAGGTCCTGAGCCAATTACTTCTCTTCCCTTCCTATTTGATTCTGTGTGGATCTTTCTTACAAGCTTGGTTTTACAAGGCTGTCTGTCTCCAATTTGTCTTCAGTGAGGATTGCTCCACATGTAGATGTATTTTTGATGTGTTTGTAAGGGTAGGCGAACTTTGTGTCCTCCTACTCTGCCATCTTGATCTCCCCTCCCTGGAATCAGTAATCTTATTTCTGAAGGGTCAATGTGCTGCTTTAAAAATGTGTAATAAAACATTTAAAACCCATAGAATGCTGCAAGTTGATCTGAAGCATAAAAACCCATAGAATGCATCAAGAACCATCAGACAATAATTACAGTAAAGTCTTAACTATCATTGTATTGCTCTGCTGTGATCCCAGCAGATTCAGGCTAGAATTCTCTTTATTATCTACTCCACATTATTGCTCAGACATTCTAGAATGTAGTGCATGTGATAATCCCTTCATTGTTTAGACTCATAGGTTTCCATGACCTTTCGCTGCAAGCCCAACCCACCAGCACTAATTCTATCCATATTAAAATGACAAGATTTTTTTTTTAAAAGATGTCTTTCTGCATCCAACGTAGTTGTTAAAAATTTTCTTAGTGAGGTAACATTCTGGAAATCTGAGCCTGAGAACCTGAGTGAGGAACTCTACTTCCCATGGGTAAAGTGGGCTGTGGCTTTTTTTGCCTTTGCTTAGAGGCTGGGTACTTGCATCTCTCAGGTCCCTCCATCCAATGCTGGGGTCACCTGTTCTAGCCTGGACAGCAGCGTCAGCATGGGAAGCCTCCCATAGCCAGGCCTGAAATTCTGTCCTTTCTGGACAGAGCGGTCACTCCTATCATAGCTAGCAAAGAAAAGTCCTCAACTCTCTGAAGATTTTTCATGCCCAATTAAAAGAGTATTCTTACCAAATGACTTGAGAATTACATATTGTTTTTATATTTTGCAGAACCATCTGACATGACCTATCTAGCTGGACTTTGGCAGACAAACTGAGTTCATCAACAGTTGGAAGTCTTAAAATTGCAAGTGCCTTGATGGATTCGTTTATGGTATAGATGTGATGATGGCTTCTTGGGTGAGGACTTCTCTAGACTCATCAAGTTACATGTATTATATATAGCTTTTTGTATGTCAGTCATACTTCAGTATGGTGGTTTTTAAAAAGTGAAAAAATTTCCTAAATTTTTACCACATGGTAAATGTCATACTTTTACATATATATATGTATTTTTTACTACTTAAGTACAGCTGTGTCAAGTCATAGCTGTGGCATGCAGGGCTCTTCCTTGGCACACAGGCTTCTCTCTATTTAAGGCCCTAAGGGCCTATGTATGTGAGATCTTAGTTTCCTGACAGGGATTGAGCCCACATCCCCTGCATTAGAAGGCAAATTCTTAACCAACCACTGGACCACTAGGGAACTCCCTAGATGTAGTCTTTTGATCTAACATTCTTGATAATTTCATGAAGCAGACAACAGTTGTGTACCGGTTTGCATGGGGGACTAGTTCCAAGACTCCCACAGATACCAGAATCCCTGAATTCTCAAGTCCCTCATATAAAATGAATACTGTTTGCATGTAACCTACTTAGATCCTCCCTATACTTAAAATCACCTCTAAATTACTTATAATAGGTAGTACATGTAAATACTATGTAAATTCTATAATTGTAGTGTTCAGGCCTACTGTTATTTGCTCAGTTGTCTGACTCTTTGTGACCTCATGGACCGTAGCCCGCCAGGCTCTTCTGTCCATGTAAATAAATAATTGTTGGTGCACAACAAATTCAGTTTTGCTCTTAGGAAATTTGTGTAATTTTTTTCCCCACTGTTTTTCCACAGACGTGGAACCACAGTTGGGAAGGCCAAGTGTGTTATCATCCCCATTTTACAGATGAGAACAGTTCTGAGAACAGAACTCCTCTGATCCCAGGCTGCCTGACTCCAAAGCATGGGCCATTAGCCATTATATTACAGTGCCCTCCTGCCTCCAGTGATGACATAAAAGGTTGTATCAGAATGAGTAATTTGTGGCTAAAATCCCTTGTGGGAGCTCTTAGTCTGACTTTTCTCTACAGCAAAATTTGAAGATGCAGTATTTTTCATTGTCTGGCAGTTCCTCTCCTCTCCCTCTTCCACCTTTTTTTTTTTTTTTCACACACAAGCCAGTGATGCTTTATTACACAAGGGATTGGCAAAGGACACATTCATTTTGTAAAAGAATCCCCACCTAAGATTCCTAGTGATCCATCTGGTGATACAGTCAACTTAATAAACAATAACTGGTATTTACCAGGTGCTTGCAATGGGCCAGAGCCATACAAATCCCACCAGGAAAACAGGACTTTTCATTAGGATCCAGATTTAGAAAAGGCCCAGCTTCAAAGATTCTGTCTTGCACAGACTGAGGATTCCTTTTTCCAGAAGTTCAAAAACCTCCTTTCTTATCTCAGGAATGTCCATCATCCTTCTCAACTTCTGATCGCTCCAGTTCCAGTCAAAAATCAGAAACTTTAAGGGGTTCAAATGAAGGCCACCTCAATGAGTTCTTTAATCCTCCCTGGAGTTCCTATACCCAGGTGTACTACATGCTTCTCCAGCAATTTTACCTGCTCCTGGACATTTATGTATTTTGCAAATAATTTCATAACTTTGCTGTCTCCTCTGAATGCAGTCATTGCCCTAATGAGCTCCAGAGCTCAGATGGCAGAGCCACAGATAATCAGCATCAGGACTGATTTCTTCTTACTGTGGTTTTTCTGAAGTTTCACCCATTTGGGGCAGACTTCTTTTAGATATGATGAAAGACTGTGAGTTAAATCACTGGCTTTGAGGAAGCAAGAGTCTGGTAGGGTTAGTTCTTCTAATTCAATCATGGAGCGACTGCTGCTATAATAGTCCTTCATCAGCTTCTGTAGGTCTTCAGGTGTCCCTGGTTTTGGCTCTGATTTTGCAAGAATATCAGTAATTTTCTTCTTTTTCCGCTTCCTGGTCTTGGCTGCATCTTCATTTGTTTCCTTCGGTTGTATCAAGAAACATTCTTTAGGCAGTTTGGTTTTCTCGGACAGGGCAGGACCTGGAGCCGTCTCCTGCTGCGAGATTTCTGTGTCTCCTCCTCCTTCACCATCTGATGCTCCTGGGCTGCTGGCTGCTCCTGCCGGCTGGTTCTCCCACCACTCGTCTCCAAGGTCGTCTGCCATCTCCATGCAGGACTCGGCCGAGGCGGACCACCAGGAGTGAGCAGGCGCTAGCTGGGATTTGCGCTGCCTCAGAGCCAGGTATTTGCAGCATGCAGAGCCTCTACTCAGAAACCCCCCTTCCACCTTGTAATGGATTTTAAGAACCTTTAAGCTTAGTGGGCAGTTTTGAAAATTACCTGGGCTACAGGTGAACATTTATGTAACATTGATTTAAAAGTCAGTTACGACTTGAATGTAGTAAAAGACTAATTTATTCAACCAATAACCAATGTGATACTTAGACTGAATTAGAATAGAGGAATAAAATATAGGCAAAAAAGTAGGAAATATTGTAACTATTTTTAAAAGATACACACTTGAAAAAAAAAAAGACTCGGGCAAGTTTTCAAGTCAAAGGACTGTAATAAATGAGGATGAGCATTTGGTTCCTTGTGTGGCATCTAGCTGTGTGACTTTGGATGTCTTGGGCTTTGACTTCTCATCCATAATTAAAAAAAGAAAAGAAAACCATGATTTCGGGAAGAAGGACTAGTTTTGAAGTAGCTAGCAAAACACTTTTGGGAAGCCCAATTTTTACAAAAATGTCTTTAAAGTAATCTTTTAACAAATATATGTATTTATTTATTTAGCTGCCAGGTCTTGGTTGCAGCATGTGGATTCTTTTAGCTGTGACATGTGTGATCTAGTTCCCTGACCAGGGATCGATCTGGGTTCCCTACAGTTAGGAGCATGGAGTCTTAGCCATTGGATCACCAGGGAAGTCCCTGTTTTTTTTAAAACTAACTCAGTGGTAGTGTAATAGGACAGAAAAGGCAATGGCACCCCACTCCAGTACTCTTGCCTGGCAAATCCCATGGATGGAGGAGCCTGGTAGGCTGCAGTGCATGGGGTCCTGAAGAGTGGGACACGACTGAGCAACTTCACTTTCACTTTTATGCATTGGAGAAGGAAATGGCAACCCACTCCAGTGTTCTTGCCTGGAGAATCCCAGGGATGGGGTCGCACAGAGTCGGACACGACTGAAGTGACTTTGCAGTAGCAGCAGCAGTATAATAGGAAAGAACCTTTTCATACAAGTTAATCACTAAAAAGATGTTGCCTACCAGCTTCAGTCAGTTCAGTCGCTCAGTTGTGTCTGACTCCAAGCAACCTCAAGGACTGCAGCATGCCAGGCTTCCCTGTCCATCACCAACTCCTGGAGCTTGCTGAAACTAATGTCCATCAAGTCAGTGAAGCCATCCAACCATCTCATCCTCTGTTGGCCCCTTCTCCTCCTACCTTTCCTTTCCCAGCATCAGGGTCTTTTCCAGTGAGTCAGTTCTTCACATCACTTGGCCAAAGTACTGGAGTTTCAGCTTCAGCATCAGTTGTTCCAATGACTATTCAGGACTGATTCCCTTTAGGATGGACTGGTTGAATCTCCTTGCAATCCAAGGGACTCTCGAGAGTCTTCTCCAACTCCACAGTTCAAAAGCATCAATTCTTTGGTGCTCAGCTTTCTTTATGGGTCAACTCTCACATCCATACATGACTACTGGAAAAAACCATAGCTCTAACTAGATGTACCTTTGTTGGCAAAGTAGTATCTCTGCTTTTGAATATGCTGTCTATGTTGGTCATAGTTTTTCTTCCAAAGAGCAAGCATCTTTTAATTCCAGGGCCGCAGTCACAATCTGCAGTGATTTTGGAGCCCAAGAAAATAAAGCCTGTCACTGTTTTCATTGTTTCGCCATCTATTTGCCATGAAGTGATGGGGCTGGATGCCATGATCTTAGTTTTTTGAACGTTGAGTTACAAACCAGATTTTTCACTCTTTCACTTTCATCAAGAGGTTCTTCAGTTCCTCTTCACTTTCTGCCATAAAGGTTATTATCTGCAGATCTTTGCATCTGCACATCTAAGGTTATTGGTATTTCTACTGGCAATCTTGATTCCAGCTTGTGCTTCATCCAGCCCAGCATTTCCCATGATGTACTCTGCATACAGCCTTGATGTACTCCCCAATTTGGAACCAGTCCATTGTTCAATGTCCTGTTCTAACCGTTGCTTCTTGACCTGCATAGCAGTTTCTCAGGAGGTAGGTAAGGTGGTCAGTCTGGTATTCCCATCTCTTGAAGAATTTTCGTTTGCTGTGACCCACACAGTCAAAGGCTTTGGTGTAGTCAATAAAGCAGAAGTAGATGTTTTTCTGGAACTCTCTTGCTTTTTCTATGATCCAACAGATGTTAGCAATTTGATCTCTGGTTCCTCTGCCTGCCAGCTTAAATTATACATAATGACTCATCTCTGGGAACACTGCCTTCCAGGTAATTGGTATTAAGCATAAATACCTTTGTTCAGCTAGAGTACCTTTGTTTTTGTAGAACTTGTACCAGAATATTTGTTTCCCCCGATTTCAAGCTCCCTGACTAGAAACATCCTGACCAGGCCCACCTCTGAATGACTGCATTAAGGAAGAAATTAACACATCTCCTCCAGACGCTGAGGAGAACCAGGAGTAGGTGACTTTACCACTCTGCCCTGCCTCTGGAGGCTTTTAGTGCAAAAAAAGTCGGAAGTCTAACTCTGCCAAGATGGTTCTTTAGGGGCCCAAGTACACCATTTTCTGTTCTCTGGCTTTTGGAATACAGTTATCATTCCTTGCCCCAACAACTGTCTCTCCATTACTGCCCCGTACTGTCGTGCAGGGCCAGCAGTAGGCGCTAGTTTGTTTCTTATACCGGTTGTTACAAATGGCACTTCGTTTGATTTCTTTAAATATTTATAAAAAGGCACAAAGCCCAAGTTGTGTACACAATGCTACCTTGCACTGTTGAGTCCGCTTCTACGCAGCACTCTGCGATGGCAATTAACAAAAAAAAAAAAATTTCGAGCTTTGCACGCCAGTGTTCAAAATAACATAGTTTCAACACTTACTGTGCACACGGCCAAATACGCATTAGGCAGCAAAGACAAGCGATAAAGACAAGCAGTGAATTCATCACAAGGTTGTCTTTGCCATGAAATAGTGTGGCCGACTGCCCTCCCTTCCTTTACTCGGTCCCGCCTGGCAAAGACAACAAAAACCAAAGAAATCTTGGCAAAAAAGCTTCCTCCACCGACCAGATCATCCACAGACGCGTGTTTCCAGGGACGAGAAGACTCACTTCTCGCGAGAGAGCCAGCGACGTTTTCAAAGGCCAAGGGGGCGGGGGGCGGTGATCGGACCCGGAAGTGCTCTGCGGCAGCCATCTCCCCGCTGCTTAGCCGCCCACTACTCCAGCCCCGAACCCACGCCCGGGCGGACGGTGCCTGGCCGCGAGCGCCCACTAACGGGTGTCTTTGGGGCTTCTCTGGGAGTTGTAGTTTGCGTGTGTCCAACGGCGCGCTCGCGCAAGCGCAGAGGGGCCGAAGGAACTACACTTTCCAGGAGCCTTTGGGTCCGCGGGCGGAGCGGCGGCGGCAGTGGCGGGTGGTTTGTAAGTGCAGCAGCACCTGCTCCGGCTGTGGCTTGAGGGGCCTGAGGGGCGCGGGCTTCTGAGCTGGACTTCTTGTGGGGAGGAACTTAAGGAGCTGGTTAGTTAGCCGTCCTGAATCCGAGCGGGCCGGCGGCGCGCGGAGGGACCGGCTCGGCCCGTTGGGGGCGCGCCAGTCGGCGCGGAGGGGCGGTGCGGGGTGCCCTTTTCCGTGGTTATTCAAAGCTGTGGGTTTGAAAGATTTGCTGTGGGTCGGTGGGTTTCAATGACGTGTTCTTTGGGAGACCGGAAATTCACCTCCCTAAGTAATCAGTTGGTTTTCAAGACCTGAGGGTGGGTTTGAATTGTTTGCATCTACATTTTCTGCCTCGCGTTGCGGTAATTTAACTCCTCCCCCGGTGCTTTAAAGAATGCTTGTGTGGCAGTTTTTGGTGGTATTAAGGCTGTCCGTTTGTTTCAAACAGATTTTGATAATAGGAAAATCCGAGTTCACATGCTGATAATCCTTCTAGGCATTTTACTGAGTATGCTCCCTTTAGCAAGGCCTTAGTATCAATAATAAATAAACAGGTTATGGGGAAAAAACAGGATTTCTATGCGTCATGCTGACAGTAAATATACTTTCAGGATCATAGTAATGAAATTGAAATGAAGCAGTGAAAAGCAGTTTCTTTTATAGGTGTAGGAAAGATGTATTACCCAAAGTGGGGGTCCACCTGCTCACTGCTCAAAGCCAATAAAGAGGCAAGTTTTGTGGAAAGACAGGACCTTCCCCACCCGCCTCCATTAGTTGGATGGAGGCACCTACATGGAGAAACAGCAGAGTCAGTTCTGACAATCATCTTGAAATCCGTCATGACGGTCCTCTGATTGGAGTCATCTTGATTGTTTTAAATACAGTTAATCTCCAGTTTCAGAGTCAGTTTGTTCACATTTTGTCAAGGCCAGGTCTCAGAATTGTAGCAGCTGTGTCATGGCTAGTGTCTGGTTGGTCATCATGGAGTTAACTTCTTCCACCTGGTGGGAGTTTTAGTCTCTAAGACAGCTCACCCGAATGGCTCGCAATATGCAATATTATCACTCACCCATGAGAAGAAACTGCAGGGCCTTGATTTTGCTTAATGACTTAAGTTGTTACTGTTTTGTCCTGTTTGCTTTTCTTTGCTTCTGCTTTTCCTTACTTCTCTGATTGAACTTGTTCTTTGGCTGAAGTTTTTCCACAGAGAAGAGGCAAGCTGAGGACTGCGGGGCAAGGACCACAGGGCCCTGTTCTGTTTCAGATGCAGACATCTGAGTACTGCATCACAATGGTGATGCCTCTTGTCAGTACATCTAGACAAGTCTCAGAGGGAAAATGTACTTGTCAGTCTGGGAGGAAAATTTTCTAGTTTTTTTTTTAAATGAAATTTGAGTATAGTTAATTTACAGTGTTGTGTTTCAAGTGAATAGAAAAGTGATTCAGTTATATATAGATACATATTCTTTCTCAGGTTGTTTTCCTTTCTAGGTAATTACAAGATAGTGTAGTTCCTTGTGCTATACTGTAGATCCTTGTTTACTTGTTTTACATGTAATCGTGTGTATCTGTTAATCCTCAGTTCAGTCGCTCAGTTGTGTCCGACTCTTTGTGACCCCATGGACTGCAGCACGCCAGGCCTCCTTGTCCATCACCAAATCCCAGAGTATACTCAAACTCATGTTCATTGAGTCAGTGAGGCCATCTAACCATCTCATCCCCTTCTCCTCCCACCTTCAATCTTTCCCAGCATTAGAGTCTTTTCAGATGAGTCAGTTGGCCAAAGTATTGAAGTTTCAGCTCTAGCACCAGACCTTCCAATGAATATTCAGGACTGATTTCCTTTAGGATGGACTGGTTGGATCTTGCTGTCCAAGGGACTCTCAAGAGTCTACCCAACACCACAGTTCAGAAACATCAGTTCTTTGGCACTCAGCTTTCTTTATAGTCCAACTCTCACATCCATACGTGACTACTGGAAAAACCATAGCTTTGACTAGACGTACCTTTGTTGGCGCTCAACATTCAGAAATCTAAGACCATGGCATATGGTCCCATCACCTCATGGGAAATAGATGGGGAGACAGCGGAAACAGTGTCAGACTTTTATTTTTTGGGGTTCCAAAATCACTGCAGATGGTGACTGCAGCCATGAAATTAAAAGACGCTTACTCCTTGGAAGGAAAGTTATGACCAACCTAGATAGCATATTAAAAAGCAGAGACATTACTTTGCCAACAAAGGTCTGTCTGGTCAAGGCTATGGTTTTTCCAGTGGTCATGTATGGATGTGAGAGTTGGACTGTGAAGAAAGCTGAGCGCCAGAAAATTGATGCTTTTGAACTGTGGTGTTGAAGAAGACTCTTGAGAGTCTCTTGGACTGCAAGGAGATCCAACCAGTCCATCTTGAAGGAGATCTGTCCTGGGTTTTCATTGGAAGGACTGATGATGAAGCTGAAACTCCAATACTTGGGCCACCTCATGCGAAGAGTTGACTCATTGGAAAAGACCTTGATGCTGGGAGGGATTGGGGGCAGGAGGAGAAGGGAAAGACAGAGGATGAGATGGCTGGATGGCATCACCGACTCGATGGGCATGAGTTTGAGTAAACTCCGAGAGTTTGTGATGGACAGGGAGGCCTGGCGTGCTGCGATTCATGGGGTCGCAAAGAGTCGGATACGACTGAGCAACTGAACTGACTCACCTTTGTTGGCAAAGTAGTGTCTTTGCTTTTTAATATGCTGTCTAGGTTGGTCATAACTTTTCTTCCAAGGAGCAAGCGTTTTTCAGTTTCATGGCTGCAGCCACCATCTGCAGTGATTTTGGAGCCCTCCCCAAATAAAGTCTGTCACTGTTTCCCCATCTATTTGCCATGAAGTGATGGGACCAGATGCCATGATCTTAGTTTTCTGAATGAATGTTGAGCTTTAAGCCAACTTTTTCACTCTCCTCTTTCACTTTCATCAAGAGGCTCTTTAGTTCCGTTAATCCTAAACTTCTAATTTATTCTCTCCTCATTTGCTTTGGTAATCATAAGTGTTTTCTATGTCTGTCTGTTTCTGTTTTGTAAATAAGTTCATTTGTATCATTTTTTAATATTCAGATATAAATGATATCATTTACTCTGAATCCATCTATGTTGCTGCAAATGGTATTATTCCCATTCTTTTTTTATGACTGAGTAATATTCAATTGTATATATAGACCACATATGTATCCATCTGTCAATGGACATTTAAGTTGCTTCCATGTCTTGGCTGTCGTGAATGGTGCTGCTGTGAACATTGGGGTGCATGTGTCTTTTCGAACTAGAGTTTTCTCTGAATATATGCCCAGGAGTGGGATTGCTGGATCATATGGTAACGCTTTTGTTAGTTTCTGTAAGGAACCTCCATTCTATTGTCCATAGTTACTGCAGCAATTTACATTCCCACCGACAGTGTAGGGTGGTTCACTCGGTAGATTATGAACACAAAAACAAAATGCCACTAATAATGAGAGGAATGCCAAAGTAGTGATGTCAGAGACCTCTAGGGATACAGACAAGAGATTGCCTCATGGGTGGGAAGGGAGTTTTAGGAAGAGGAGGAAGGGACAACAGGAGATGGTGGCAGATAAAGCCTTGGGGTGGTGGTGACTTGTTCTGGAACTAGGAGGAACACTGCTTTCCTGGTTGGGCGAAGAAGCAGTATTGGACTACATACAGTCAGAATCATTGAAAGTGGTTAAAGTGGGTAGTAGTGGATATAGATAGTGACTTGTTTTTCTTTTGGTAATCAAATAACTTAGACGAGCTTTAACTCCCTTAGGTTTTTGTTGTTGTGTTGTGCTCATCGTGTCTGACTCTTTGTGGCTCCATGGACTCTGGCTTCTCTGTCCATGGAATTTCCCAGGCAAATACTGGAGTGGGTTGCTATTTCCTCCTCCAGGGGATCTTCCAGGGGTTGTACTCAAGTCTCTTGCAAAGGCAGATTCTTTTCCACTGCACCACCAGGGAATCCTGCTCCCTTAGTTTTAGGTCTTTTGAGTGATCATCACTTGTGTAAATTGATCCATAACTGATTGAATCAGAGGGAACTTTGATTTTTGATCTCCTTAGTGTGGATTTTTTTAAGGACATTTTAAAAAATATGTAACTAATTCCTTGATTGCTTTGCTAAAGTCTTTTATGTAAGAAATACTCAGTAGATTTTTGTGCTAGATTGAGGTTTGGGTAGAATAGCTTATTTGTTTTCTGTCTTCTTTCTGCAGGTGTTGGAAATTAATAACTGTTCCATCTTCTAAATATAGTACTGTCATTGGACCAAAATGTTTCTGATGCCAGCTTCTTCAGAGTTAAACAGTGGGCAGAACTTCTTAACCCAGTGGATGGCGAATCCTTCTCGGGCTGGGGTCATATTAAATCGTGGATTTCCTATTTTAGAAGCAGAGGAAGAGAAGCCAGCAAATGTGAACTTTTCTGCCAGCTTTCCTATTAAAGCCACAAAATTTTCAAATAGTTTCAGCTTTATAAGGGAAGAAGATTCACTTCATGAAGAACAGAAATTGGAGCCTAACAGCCCGTACAAGTTACAGTCAGATAAATCTGAACCACAGAGAGTCTTTCCTTTAACTAAAGAGGGGCTACAGATAGTGGCACGTCAGGATGCTCCTGGACAATGGGAAGATAGCAAAAATGAGTTCATTGCAGATCTTTTAAGTGAATTCAAAGAAGTGCCTTTTAAAGACCCACTTGTTAAAAAGCTTGAACAGGTAAAACGGGGTTTGACCTGATATGTATGTGTATGATTGCACAGTTATTGCAGGTTTCTGTTTACAATGAAAAGTCATCTGTTCCAGGTCTTTGTTTATCTTTTACTCATAATATCATACTTTGTCTTTTGTTTGAGGTGAAACATTAAAACATGATTAATACGTAAGATACAAATATAGCACTTACAATAACAGTATCTTCCTACCTCATTTTGTAAAGACTGATTTAGAAATGACTGATCAAATGTTAGTTGATTATAAATGGACTGATACAGATCCTACTTTAAGAATCAAAGGATTCATGTGTTGTTTTTTTTTTTGTCTTAGTTGAGAGTTCAGAGTTTTGGTGGCAGATTAAGTTACTTAGGGATCCCTCTTTGGAACTCTTTATTAGAGAAGATACGAGAAGGGAGCTGGGAGGGATTAAGATTAATGTTAAGGAGCAGAGGTCCATAAAGAAATAGTAATTTTAATCAAGTTAATTGTATGTCTAAAAAGCTTAAAGAAGAGCAACAGAAGAAGCAGGAGCAGCTGAAGAAGCGGCAGCTCGAGCAGCTGCAGAGGCTCATGGGAGAGCAGGAGGAGCTACTTGCCTTGGTGTCTGGGCAGCAGACACTCCCAGGTATTATTTACTGTGAGGCCTTTGGTCAGTACAGTGGTAGGCAGTTACACACATTTCCTGTCTTTAGTCATTTGACAGGTTATTTCTACCATTTCTCTGTCATGTTGCCAGCTCCAATTTCAAGCCATACAGACAACTATGGAACGGTAGTGGTGTGATATAATACAGATGAGGGATCTGTGCTATTCTGGAACATGTGTGCCCTACTTAAAGGCATTCACGTTTATTTATAAAATAAATTTTAAAAAGATCCAACAGAATAAAAGATGCGGAGCTGAATTTGACCTAGGGCTACTGAGGCACAACCCCTGCCTGATGAATGAAAAACTGATCAGGGTCATAAAAGTGTATGTGTAGAAGCCATTCTGCTCTGCCAACAAGCCATACCAGAAATACTTTCTGGGGTAGTACAGGACAGCTTTACTGTTGAATGCTAGATCAGTTAATAGAAAGCATGATGTACTTATGGGGATGAGCAAACAGTTGAAAAGTGGTTTGGAGCAGTAGTTTTGAAAGTTTTTTGACCAGGTTGTATAGTAACAAAAACATTTAAAATCATGACTCATAATTCCAGAGAAGTTTCATGAATCAGTTCTTACTCACATGCCTGGCAGGTAGCAAGGGCATTTCAAAATGGATTGTGTCCCATGGTTTGAAAAACTGGTCAGGGGCAGTGTGCTTGCTTCTTGGTGCTGCCTTTTAAGAGACACACTTGACTGATTGAGTGGAGCACCGGTTCTGTTGAGAGGCTGTCCTGGACGTAGAGAATACAAAGAAGATCTTGGTAGGTGTGCATGCAGATGTGGCTGGATGGTATCTTGGGCGTAGTGGTAGCACTGGTGATAAGGAAGGCAGCAAATGAAGAATGGCTCAGGGAATTTGGATGTTTATCTTAGACAATATAGAGAATATGGTGTATATCTGGAAATAATTGAGTGGTTCAGGGTTCTTTTATGGAGGACAGAAAAATAAGAATCACGATCACTTATATAATAGCCTGTGATAGTTTCCTGGGTAGAAATAGCATATGGTAGAGCAAAAGGGAAGCAGATTTTAAAGTTACTAATGTGAGAACTACCTCACATTATGTAACAGTTGTTTTAGGGCAGCTCTCAACATTTTTTGGTTTCAGGACCCCATAACACTCTTAAATTATTGAGGACTCCAAGAAGTTTGTATTATTATATGGGCTGTAGCTATTGATATTTACTGTGTTAGAGATTAAAACTAATAAATTTAAAAACTAATTTCTTTAAAATAATTATGTGCTATAAATAACACTTTTTAACAAAAAAAATTTTCTAAAAAATAATTGAGAAGAATGGCATTGTTCAGTGTTTTTGAAAATCTCTTAACTTTTGGCTTATAGAATTCAGCTGATTCTCATATCTACTTTCGCCTCCCATCTCTTCATTTATGTTGTTTTGATTGATGTATGTGAAAAAAATCCGGCCTCACAAGGACATGTGATTGGAAAATGGAGAAAGCTTTTTCAAATAACGTGGTTATTTCTTTGGTATTCCACCGAACTTAACCAGTGGTCATTTCTTAGCTGTTACTCACAGTATGGAATCAATCATATTAGTGAACTTTCTGTGCTCTATTACATTAAAATACATTAAAGTATCTTGACATTTTGAATGGACTTTTCATCATCCATGCTTTGGTAAAATCATGCATTGGTTATTTGGAAAATAATAGTTCTCTGAGGTAGGTTCTAAAAATATTGATATATTTCATTATAAAGTATAAAAATTTATATGTATTAATGCTCCCACAGATATCATCATAAAAGTCTTGAAATATAAAGCTTTCAAGCTCATGGTGATGGACATATTTTCCAACATTCTGATTTTTACTTGAAAGTTCATACTTTATCATTGGCAACAAATACTGTCAGTTTCCTTGAAATGTCTGGCTCAGTTGTTTGATTTTTGAGAAAATGTTCTGCCAAGTACTGTGGTTTAAATCATCGTAGTTCATCATTCTTTCAAGTAGAAATAATCCCTAAAAGATCAATTAGTTAAGCTTATGGCTGAAAAAATTTCACAGCCCATGGCTTAGTTTACAGCAGAAGTGATTTATGTATACTTCACATTTTGTCCTATAAGATACTCAGAAGACATGAACTCAAGAGTTAAAATTTAGCTAAAAAATTAATAATTTTCCTGCTTGCTTTGTCTGGAACATTCTTCAGTAAAGCTGTTGTTAGTATTTGAGCTGAGAGTGTGGTGGTGAGCACAGTAGGTACTGCTGTCCTGCTTTTGAGTGAGGTCCCCAGGAAGCTCCCTGGTAGTGCGTGTGATCAGGGTGCACGTCAGCACAGTGAAATGGCAGATACTATCTCAGTAGTTCTGAAGATAGCTTGGACGTTGGTGGATGCCCTGACAGAGTCTTGGAGACTGGGAGTGTACAGACCACACTTTGAGGACCGCTGCTTTGGGATTTTGCTCTTCTGTCAGAGATGTTTTTAGGCTGAAGTGGAATGACTGTTAGTCAAAAATATTTAGATGGGAGAATATTGTTATTAAAGAAGGCAGGTTGAATCTGATATTCAGTGAGGACCTACCTGACTTCCAGTTTTATTTGTGGGCTAGGGGTGAAGCAAAGGGTATAAGACATAGGCGGCATGCCTCTTTTACGAAGTACTTCCTACTATGTCTTATTTTTTTGGCCATGCCACATGGCTGGTGGGTCTTAAGTTCCTGGACCAGAGATTGAACCTGCACCTCCTGCAGTGGAAACACAGAGTCGTAACCACTGAACTGTCTGGGAGGTACCCCCGATTGTATCTTTAATTCTAAGTTTAATTGAAACAATCTGGGAAAACAGGAGTAGTAAATTGCAAGGGGCTGGTACAGCAGGCAGGATGGCTAGTATTGCCATTTATTCTCTAAGAATTGTATCTTTGAGATACATGGAAAGGGAATCTTCTGTCTGTTTATTGGGTACAGAACAGGTGAAAAGTATTACAGGAAATTTAGGATTAAAGAAAAGTACAAAACAAAATCACCCATCATTCCACCACCGAGGTCACCAGCATCTTAATGGGAACATAAAGGAAAAATGCTTTCATGTGTTGTAACACAGAGCAGTTATTGATTGTGAAGGAACAGTTCAGATTGTTTGTAACTGTCTGCACCGGTGCTCTGCATTTAACTGTTTGTCACAGGGCTTAGAGTTGACAGCTCCAGGCAGTGCTCACAGATGGAGGGTGAACGGTGCCTTCCACAGTTAGGCAGGCTGCAGCTCTAGCGTGTGAACACTGCACATGAGTTGTGGTGTAAATGCACTTTCAATCAAAAGCATGCAAATGTCACTTTGGACTCTTAAAATTTCATGATTTTGTTAAACATAGTTTTCTAATAATGAGGAAAAAAGTACTTCCCTCACTTTGGAGAAAACATAGGTGCCATTAACAGGTAGAACAGAAAATGTTATAGAAAGTCATCAGTTTTGTTGATTTTCTTAATTGTAAGGTTTAACTCCACTGCCTGATGACCAGAGCCAGAAAAAGTACAAACCTCTGGGAAATTTAACCACTGTAGAGAAAACCACGCCCTTCTTGCCATCATATATCTACCAGAATCAAAGCCAAGAAAAAAAGCACCCTTCTAGCATTTTATCCAGTGAACAAAATGACTTCTCTAGAACTGCTCATCAGGATTTTGTTTTAACTTCAAGAAGTGGTGCTTCTCCCAGTGTGTTTTATGAGGCACAGTGTCAGGAAGCCCTTGTGGAAAAAAATGATTTGAAGGAAGAAAATGATAACTCTTCGAAAGGTGAGTTACTTATTTTTCTCTCCTCTATAGTTAATGGACAGTGTCACCTAGTTGTTCTAAGACAAGGAAAGTCCTGCGTTTTTTTCCTCCTATTCGTGTCTTTTTTTGTCCTCCTAAATATTTGTGTATCTATTTACTTGGCTGAACTGGGTCTTAGTTGCAGCATGCGAACACTTAGTTGTAGCATGTGGGATCTAATTCCATGATCAGGTTTGAACCCGATCAACCCGACTCTGCATTGTGAGTGCAGAGTCTTAGTCACTGGACCACCAGGGAAGTCCATGCTACGTCTTTAAATGAGAGATCCTAACTTCTGTACAGCCACTGAGCCTGGTTTGGACACAGAATTTGTGGCTTTCCAAGAACAAGTTGCAGGATGACTCTTGCTGACTTCAGACCTTGCCGTGGTAGCATCAGGTCTTCAGAAAGGGAGGCAGTGATTTCTGCGTGGATCATTTTTCTCGAGAGCTTAGGAAAAGTTAGAAATCGATTTAAAAAGTGTGTGTGTTGGTGGTGGGGAATAGGATAGAAGATGTGACATGTGAACAATAGATTAGTGATGGGACTTACTACTAGTAAGAGAAATCCCTCCAACCCCAACACCCTTACTGTATCTCTGTGTTCTCAGCACCTGGCATGCTCCTGCCAGAGCACTGGCTCTTAGTGTCTGCTAATTCCAAACTCACTGAGCGCTCAAGGCATTTCTAGTGTAAAGTCCTGTTTCTGTGCTCACTCCCTGGCCTTTTGTTTCTTTCCATATTTTGTAATCATAGAGTGAGTATTGTGTAATAAATTATGTTCTTTTCCCACTCAATGTGGAAAGTGCTCATGGCACTTTCTGTAGCCTTCATAACCATAATCTTAATGTTATCATTATGCAGATCATCAAATAATGTCTTTATTTCATGTTCTTTATAGTAGGATTGAATCATTTCCAGTATTTTAATTTGCTTTTCAACTTTAATGGTGTTTTTATGTATGTGTTCTTTAGAGTCAGATATAGAAAAACACAAATGATACGACAAAAAGTCTTTATTCAGTACTTAGTATTGGGCACCTTTTGTGGATAATATCTTATTCCTAGTTTAGAGTAATTTCTTGGTATAAGAAATTTTCCTTATTTTTTATACAGTACATTCCCTTAACCATTTCATCTTTATTTGGTGGCACTGTGCAGCATGTGAAACTTCCCTAACCAGGGATCAAACCCTTGCCCCTTGCAGTGGAAGCATGGAGTCTTAACCACTGGACTACCAGGGAAGTCCCATTAACCTTTTATTTTGGCAAATTTCAAACATCCAGAAAAGTTGAAAGACCACTGCAGTGATTACTAGTGTATCCACCACCTAGATGCAGCAATTGATATTTTTCCACATTAACTTTGTCTATCTATATTTGTATGTTGTAGATATCTGTATCTATACTTAAATTTATCTGTTTATATCTGCACATATTGATAGTTTGCTCAGTCATTTCATCTCAAATTATATGGAGACATTATTTTATATAATTTCAAATATCCGGAAAAAATTAGGACATTCTTCTATATAACTACATTACTATTAATATTTTTGTATTCAGGGACCTTAACTATGGAAATGCAATTTAGAATGCTCCCTGTGATCCCAAAATTGCCTCTTTAAGGTGTTTTTTAAAAGTAGGATCCAGTCAAGTTATTGTATTACATTCAGTTGCTACAATTCTTTGAGTCTTTTATAACTTAGAAAATTTCTCCCCCTTAACATTAACTTTTCGAAGGATGTTGTGTTTTAATTAGGGTTTTATATTTTACTTTATCATATTAAATTGAGTGTTTTAAAATCTTTGGTATACATTAATTGTTTTTTAGCATAGTAACTTGTAAAATTCTCGCATTTTAAGACTTTAGTCTGCTTTTTTAATTGAACTAAATTGCCCCTAATTTTTATTCTAGGAGAAGGTATTTTACCATGTTTGGAGAAAATGACGGAACAGATTCAGGAAGGGAACGATACGAACTTAAAAAAAATTGATGATTCCTCAGAAGTGGTTAATATTGAAGAAAGGTATCATTCGAGTTGAAAGGAATTTAATATGAGTCATTATTATTGGTACTTTCTTTGTTTGAAAGATCCATAGTTTTATTGTTTTTGCCTGGACGTGCTTTTAAGTATAGGAATGAAGATCCATCTTATTCCATATTGTCAGCAACAGTAAGAGGTTGGGAAGATAATCAGTTAAAGTAGCCTTGACATTGTATTGGGAGAATCTAGCAGTTTTTTCATCTAAGGGAAATACCTGGATAAAACTAATATTCTCTCAAATAGGTAAATCCTGTTTTGGAGAAGAGAAAGATCATATATTGGAGTTGCACATATGGTATCACTTACAAATAATAATTGAGTGTGGTTATAGAATTTAAAATTTTATATCAAAGATAAAATATCAATAGTGAGGTTGTTTATTATTTTCTTAAATATTTTAGTATATGTTATGGAATGCTAAATGACTTGTTAATATTGTTAAGGATCTTAAAGACTATTTATTTAATGACCTATTCTTGGAAACATATCTTAGTTATATAATGAATATGTTACTTTAGAAGTTAATCTGAGGTCAGTAGGTGGACTTCAGAGGGGCTTTTTCAAATCACATGTAGAGACATGTATTTCTGTATTTTGGGAGATGGAGTGGAATTGTAGCTTTTAATAGATTCTCAAATGGAATTTGTAATGTTGGAAAAGGTTAGTTCTCAGTCAGAGGTGTCTATCAGCCACACTAAGTGTAAAGTATTCACCACATTATGATTTGCATGTTACGTAACTTTATTTTTATGATTAGGCCTATTAAAGCTGCTATTAGAGAAAGAAAACAAACTTTTGAAGACTACTTAGAGGAACAGATTCGGTTGGAAGAACTAGAACTGCAACAAAAACAGCTAAAGGTTAGCATTTCTACTATTTTGATCCAGTTATCTAAGGCTTTAGAGATTTATTTATAATTTGCTTAAAAAATAGCTTTGAGATTATTTGGATATACTAGAATTAATTCAAATATTCTTTTATTTTAGGAAGCAGAAGGATCTTTGCTTATCAAAGCAAAACCAAAACAACCATTCTTAAAACGAGGAGAAGGTTTAGCCAGATTTACTAATGCTAAATCTAAGTTTCGGAAGGGGAGAGAAAGTAACCTAGCCACCACTCAGAGCATTTCAGAGGACCAGCCTGTGTTTAAATCAGATAAACAACAATTCCAACGGAAAACTGCTCTTATAAATAAAGAAATCTGTACAGAGAACCTTCCTGTTAAAAAGAACAGTAAAGTCAGAACCAAGTGTGGTTCGCTCACACTCAGTCAGAAGCCAAAAGTGCTTAAGAGTAATAGTAGGAAAAGTCTTTCTCCATCAAGATTGAAAATGCCAGCCGGGAAGAAATGTGATGGGCAATTCAGAGAGCAGATCAGTTTAGGAAAAAAAGTGGAATCTAATAATAAAGAAAATGTACCTGAGTGTACAAAACCTTGCGATGTTGGTTGCACAATCTGGAATAAGGCACGCAGTAAAGACAGACTTCCCATTTCCACAGGACTCATCAGCTGTATGGCTTCTCAGAGCCCAGCAAGTGAAACTTTGAAAGGGTCAGAATCTTCTCTTGATGTTTCTCTTCGGAAAAAGTTAGAGAATTGGGAACGAGAAAAGGAAAAGGAAAATTTGGAATTAGATGAATTTTTGTTTTTAGAACAAGCTGCTGATGAAATATCATTTTCTAGTAACTCCTCATTTGTACTGAAGATCTTAGAGAGGGACCGGCAGAACTGCAGAGGTCGCCGGCTGTCTTCTACCCCTGTCAAAGGTGTGCGGGAAGAGAAGACAGCAACACTGGGTTCTTTTAGTCATCATAGCCAAAACGAGGATCCGGACCATGCCCAGTGTGGAAGCAAGGCTGAGTGCGAGGTTGCTCCCAGACAACTTGATTCAGTGTTCTCACCGGGAGGATTGTGGGCGCCGTCCTGTGAAGTCAGGAGGAGAGTGTTCCAAACGAACCCTCCTGAAAGGCAGACCAGGTGGAATGCAGGTGATGGTGAAGGTGTTACAGACAGTGATCATAGCACCGATTTGGAGGAACAGCTTGACGTCACTATAAAGCTGTCATCTGAGGGTAAGGAAAGGAGTTCCAGCAGCAGAGAAGATAGTCCACAAGTCTGTGATGGTAAGGGACCTTTTCGGGACATCACGACTCAAGAGGAAGAGAAAAGGAGAGATGTTGATTTAGATTTGTCTGATAAGGATTATAGCAGTGATGATTCTCTCATAATAGAAAGCTTGAAAAATAAAGTTTCTGATTCCTCCAGAAGACACTCATCTATAAGTGTGAATAAAATTGACTTTGATGATGAAAGAACTTGGACTGACCTTGAAGATAATTCATTTAAACATGATGGTGTTCTTGGGAATGAAGCCATTTATGGGACTCCCCAGACAACCAGCCCTAACAAGAGTGAAATGTGTGTACTGGACAAAACGATAAAAAGGAAGGTTGTGCCAGTCAAGAAGGGAGAAGACTTGGGTAAATCCAGTAGGGACCCAAGCCCTCCTCCTACCTCAGATCTGATGATAGAATTCTTTCCTTCTCTGAAATCGAAGTCAAAGTCACACTCACGCTCGAGAAATGATCCCAAGTTAAACACAAGTCAAGACCACCCACCTGGTATGTCAGAGTATTGTAATGAAATGTTGTAAGTTTAAATTTATTTTATCAGTATATTGTCAGAATGTTTCTTAAAGTCTTAATCTTTCTAGATGCTCAGTAGATACCTAGTAGGTGTTTGTTAAGGTTTGATTTCTTTTGTGAGCCTAAATAATGTAATAGTCACACACACACACGCGTGCGTGCACGCACACTAGTGTAAGAGATTTGGAAGAATTGTGATTGCAGATTTTTTCGAATTTTAACCTGTGTCTTATTGCCAAGGCTTTAAAATTAATTACGGTAAGGTGAGATAACATTTAAGTTTCTTTAATAACCAAGGGCTATTGGGCTTCCCTCATAGCTCAGTTGGTAAAGAATCTGCCTGCAATGCAGGAGACCAGGGTTCGATTCCTGGGTCGGGAAGATGCCCTGGAGAAGGAGCCTGGCAGGCTACAGTCCATGGGGTCCCAAGAGTTGGATAAGACTTAGTGACTAAACCACCAACAACAACCAAGAAATACCCAACTTGTGGTTGGTGTTGCTGTGTTACCTCCACTTGTGCACACCATTTTAAATCAGTTTTTTTAATGGTCTCATGCATTAACTTGCTAAATATAATGAAGAAGAAATAGAGTAAAATCTGAGTTTCCTCTCTTCCCCAGCCCCAGACCTGGGCTCCTAGAGACACCAACTTTCCAATTTCATTTGTGTATTGTACCAAGATTCCATGCATATGAAAGTGTATATGTGAATGTGTATATAATTTACCTTTCTACACAAATGTAAACACACTTTGTATATACTGCTCTGTTCCTTGCTTGTAATACATTTTGAAGCTTGTGCTAATATACATCTGTCTCATTCCATTTCATGGCTGTAAAATATTTAGTTGATGGGATGGACTTTATAAACTTATATCGAAAACAGTTTTCCATTCTTTTATGTATATTATAAACTTGAATGTCTAGCAAAGCATGGGTGCTTTAAAATATAAGCTATTTTTTAAAAATAGTATTTTTTGCTGGAAGGTTGGAAGCTTAAAGTATAGAAGCAAAAGTGTTTATAACTAAACCATCCTAAGGTAACTGTGATTTACTTCTTTACATTCATTTTTCCTATGTATTTTTAATATGGTAGAGACATATAATTGCCCTTATCTTTTTTGACCAGATGTATGCAGTGCTTTGGCCATATCATTAAAACTGTGTATTTTTAAAATGGTTGCAGAGAATTATATTAATGTAGCATAATTTTATTACAGTAGTTTCATGTTGAACATTTCAGTTGTTTTTCACTATTAGAAATAACACTGCAATGCACACTTTTGTGTAGAATGACTTGTATTATTTTATAAGTTCCTTCTTTAACTAGATTTTTAGAAGTGGGTCAGAGGGGAGATACATGTATTTTTAGTCTTGTGACATAAATCAAGGTTATTTTCCAAATGGGTGATTGAAGGACAAAAGTATAGGCTATTTTGTTACGTAGCAAATTTGATGTGGAAAAGGTCTTAATTTGTATTTCTTTTATTGGTGGGGGATAAACCTTGATTTTGGTGTTGATTAGTGCTTTAGATCTCTTATGAATGCTTGTTCATGTTCTTAAGCTGTTTATGTATATTGTCTTTTACAAGTATTGTTCCTAATGCTTTTTAATAATATAGGTATTGAGAATATCTAGGGCCCTTAGTGTAATAGCTAGCTAGTGTTTTGCTGCTGAAAGCTTTTTGTGAAGTTCAGTATTGGTGACTTATCTTCTAGGTGGCAATGCTCGATCTCAAATTTTGAGAGAGAAAATTACTGAATTGGAAACAGAAATAGAAAAATTTAAAGCTGAGAACGCATCTTTAGCTAAACTTCGCATTGAACGAGAAAGTGCCTTGGAAAAACTCAGGTAAGTGGGGGGAAATGTACAGTGATCCAGTTACATCTTTAAGATTATATCTAAACTATTTGAAACAATTCCTATTAATCTAGCTAGAGCAGGAAGTGAAATACATTCCACAAAAGAATTTAATAAATTTAGATAAAATGACCTATTGTGGTCAAAGATGTGTTAAAAGGGGAATTCTCTTAGTGATGCGGTCATAAACTGAAGTTTGACAAGCAGTTTGGAGCTGTGGGTTCAAGTGCCACCTTGGCCAGTGTACTACGTTCTAGGGCTGCTGTGACGTAATGCACACAAACTGGGTGGCTTAAAACAACACATTTATTTTCTCATGTTTCTGGAGACTGAAAGCCTGAAGTTGGGCGTCAGCAGAGCTGTACTTTCTCTTCTGTCTTCTCTTGGTTTCTAGTGATCTTTGGCCTTCCTTGGGTTGCAGCTGAACATGGGGTTGTTTCTGCCCCTGGGTTATTGAAAATAGTGCTGAGGAGCCACCACGCTGTTCCACAGGGGCCTCACCAGTTATGTCATGTATATTTTACCAGTTTGTGTCATGTTCACCATGCTGTTCCACAGCGGCCACGCCAGTTACATCTTGTTCAACTGCACGAGCCAGCTCTGCATCCTGGGGATCAGACGTGGTGTGTTAATGCCTTTACCGTGCTGTTGAATTTGGTTTGCTAGGTTTTTTTTGAGGAGTTTTACACCCTTATTTATCTGGGACATTAGCCTTTAGTTTTCTTTCCTTGTGTTTTTGTCTGCCTTTGGTATGAGAGTGAAAACTAGCTTCACAGAATGAGTTTGGAAGTGTCCCTTCTTTTTAAAGATTGGTATTAATCCTTCTTTGAGTATTTAGTGGGACTCACCTGTGAAGCCACCTGTCCTGGGCTTTCCTTTTGTGGGAAATTTTTGATGACTGATTCAGTCCTCTTGTTTGTTATTGGTCTGTTCAGGCTTTCTCTTCCTTCTGGGTCCAGTTTTGGTAGTTTGTATGTTTCTAGGAATTTGTCATTTCTTCTGAGTTACCTAGTGTTTTGGAATATAATTGTTCACATGTGGTCCTTTTTATTTCTGAGGTATTTGTTAAGGCCTGTATTTCTCTTTTTTTCTTAGTCTGACTAGAGGTTTGTGTGTCTCCCCTAATGCGTGTGTCATTCATTCAGTCACATCACATAAGTCCTATAGGCTTTCTTCACTCCTTTTCATTCTTTTCCCTTTTTCCCCCTCTGACTGGGTATCTTCAAGTCACCAGCCTGTGCAGTCACAGATTTTTTTCTTCTGCTTGAGTCTGCTGTTGAAGTTCTCTGTTGCGTTAGTCCTTCATTTCTTTTATTCTTCAGCTCTAGAATTTCTTTCTTTCTTTTTTAATAATTTCTGTTTGTTCTTGTTTTGTTTCACATGCTGTTTCTCTGATTTCATTGAGTTGTTTATCTGTGCTCTCTTGTAGCTTGCTGAGCTTCTTAAAACAATTACTTTGTGTTCTTTGTCAGGTGGTTTGTAGATCTCCATTTCTTTGGGCTGGTTACTGAAACTTTATTAACAGTTTCCTTTGATGGTCTCATGTTTGCCTGATTCTTACTGTTCTGTGTAAACTTGTGTGGATGTCCTTGTATTTGAAGGAACAAACACCTGCTCCTGTCTCTAGAGGCTGTTTCTGGCAGGTAAAGACCTTGTCCTGCTGGACTCCTGGACTGATGGGTGCCTCCAGGATCACGGTGGGATTGTAGCTGGCTCATTGTGCTGGATCCACAGTGAAGGGGTTCACCATTTGATAGGCCTGTCACCAGGGTTGCAGTCGGCTGTAGTTCCTGCCACATCCCCAGTGGACAGAACTCCTTCTTGGACCGCAGTCAGGCAGGGCTGAAACTACATCATGGGCTGCCTCCTGTACCACTGCTGGGTCTGTAATGGGAGGTGTGCTTCCAGAGGTCAGCACAGGTGTGGCTCCTGCCGGGTTCCTGAGCATCTTCCCATGGGTCCCCGGTCTGGCAGGACTGCCTCCATACTCAGAGCAGGGCTGGAGCTGGGTCACCAGGTTGTGTCAGGATCTGTGGGCAGGACCAGGGTCCGTGGGTCTGCTTCCAGGGGCAGGGGTGGGCATGGCTCCTCCTGCCTCCTTTGGCAGTGGGGCTGTGTGCAGTGCAGTCAGGTCGCCATTTAGTAGGTCTGCATGGACCTGCCTTCTCAAAAGTGCTGTCCTTGATCTCAGGCTTCACCAGGGTTTCTCAGTTACCTCCCAGGGTCCTTGAGTTCCCACAAAAGCCTCGAGTTCCCACTTTTGTCTGTGGATGGTGGTCAGATTGTCATTTGTGTGGGAGCATGTAGCCGGGACCCCTTATTCCACAGTCCTGCTGTCGTTGCTCCGTGTGCTCTCAGCTCAGCATCCAGAAAGATGCTGGGTTGACAGCCCCAGACCAGTGTGCTGCTGTGCTCAACACCAGAGTCCTCACCGTGGTCCCAGAGACCATGACCTTTATTTATTAGTCCCCCCAGCCCCACCATGTTTTTGACATTCTCTCCTACTGTTCTGTCTCTTTAGCCACACTGGCCTCCTGTCTGTTCTTTGAACACAAGTCACGTTCGTACCCCGGGGCTTTTGCACATGCGGTTTCCTCTTCCTGGAATACTCTGTCCAGATATCTTCATGACTGATCTCTTCCGGTCCCTCAGATTTCACTTCACATACTATCTCAGCAAGATAATTTCAGTCCCCTGACCTCCATATTTTCTGACCTCATTCCTTGCTTTATTCTTAACATTTCCAGTGTTCCATATATTTTACTTGTTTATGTTTATTGTCCTCTGTCGCTCCCACTAGAATGTAAGAAGCTTTGCAGGACTAAGGATTTTATTTTTTTTCACTGTGTTTTCTCCAGTTCCTAGCATAGTGCCTGAGCCATAGTAGGTTCCCAGAGAGTGCTAGCTTGAGAGGGGCTTTACTGAGTTGTTATTTCACTACTGTTGATTGAAGGTGGAGTCACCAAAACCAGCAGCTCCTCCATTCCAGGCTGTCACTGGGGCTTCATTTTGTGCCACATGTGGATGACGATATCAAGGTGGTCTCCTTAGATGATAATGTGGTTTGGTCCTTTTAGGAAAGAAACTGCTGACTTTGAACAACAGAAAGCCAAAGAATTGGCTCGAATAGAGGAGTTTAAAAAGGAAGAAATGAGGAAGTTACAAAAGGAACGCAAAGTTTTTGAAAAGTATTCTACAGTTGCAAGAACTTTTCCAGATAAAAAGGAACGTGAAGAAATACAAGTATGTCAGTTATTTATATTATATTCATAAGTTAGTAAAGATGGCAGTCTTGTAAGAATTTTAGAATTATTTGGGTCAAAGAGAAATTGTGTATCAACGTATTAATCATCCATTGACTCAGCAGATAATCTGAGATACCAGGAACACCTTCTGTAGTCATGGCTTTTCATTTTAATTTTTATTAAATTTTTTACTCTTTGGCTATGCCATGGGGAATCTTAGTTCCCCAACCAGGGCTCGAACCCTTGCCCCCTCCATCTTAACCACTGGACCTCCAGAGAAGTACTGTACTCTCTGACTTGTGAAGAGTAAAATATGTCAGTTCTTTTCTTACTAAAGACTTCCCCAGAAAAGACTACGATAATGACATGGATAAATTCAAAACATTGATTTTGAATTCCTTTTAACTTTACTGAGGAATTATTGAAATATATAGCTCTGTGTTTAGAAGTATACTGTGTGATGATTTGATGCACATATACAGTGTGGAATAATCACCAAGATCAAGTTATCTCTGAGTGGGTGGGTGTGGAGAAGGCCGAAGATCTGCTCTGAGCAACTGTCAGGTGCACAGCACAACCTTGTGAACCAGTCACTGAGCTGTACCGAAGCCCCTCAGAACTTAACTCTTCTTACAGCTCAAAGTCCATGTCCTTTGACCTCCCTTGCTCCATTTCCCCTCCCTCCAGCTCCCGGAAACTAGCATTCAGCTCTTGGAAGTCAGCTTTTCCCCCCTAAAATTCTACATGTAAGTGATACCGTATAATATTTGTCTGCTGCTGCTAAGTCACGTCAGTCGTGTCCAACTCTGTGCGACCCCACAGACGGCAGCCCACCAGGCTCCCCCGTCCCTGGGATTCTCCAGGCAAGAACACTGGAGTGGGTTGCCATTTCCTTCTCCAAAGCATGAAAGTGAAAAGTGAAAGTAAAGTCGCTCAGTTGTATCTGACTCTTAGTGACCCCCATGGACTGCAGCTTACCAGGCTCCTCTGTCCATGGGATTTTCCAGGCAAGAGTTCTGGAGTGGGTCGCCAGTGCCTTCTCCGATAGTATTTGTCTCTGTTTGGCTTATTTGGCTTTGAATTCTTAAATTATTTAGATTTATGAGTTGCCATTTTAGTAGAATAGTATATTACCCACATGATAACAGTGGTTACCAGTTAGAAATTGCTCACTTGTTGGTTGCACGCCACCGTTTTATAAATATTAAGTTCAGGGAGGTAATGACTTTACTTCATGTATTTTCATGGCACAGAACTGGGATATGAGCCTTGACCTCACTCAGGCCCTGAGTCTTTCTCTCTGACGTCGAATCCTGGGAAGGGCCTTGACCTCACCTGGGTCCAGCCTCTGTCTCTCTCTGAAGTCACACCCGGGAAGGGCCCCTGAGTCCTGTTCCTCCCCCTCTTGCCTGTGCTGCTCTGTTGACTGCTGTGAGGCTGTGAGAGGCTGGGTGGGCATCCAGGCCCACACGTGTTGATGAAGTGGTGGGCCTCCTCACTCACGCCTTAGTCGGAGTGAGTTTGTGGGTGGTGGCGATGCTTTCTTGATTCTAAGCTTCCCTCCGCTCTCAGCCACTCCCTGTAATTTGTACCCACATGGGTGCAGGTGGCTGATTTCTGTTTGTACAGTTGCAAGTAGCTTTCTCAGACATCTCCAGGAGTTTTTTGAAACAAGTCATTTTCTTAGACCCAGTTCTCAGGAATTTCAGATAGACCCAGTTTCAGGGCTGGGAGTTCTGACTTCATTTATTCCCTTTGCCACTGCTCTTCCTTCAGTTAGTCATGGATTCCTGTTACTGTTTTCTTCACCAGATAACCCCACTCGTCTCTTTCTATTTCAGTTAATGTCTTAGTTTAGACCTCGATTACCTCATGGCTCCTATGTGGTGTCTGACGCACCCACCCCCCCAACTTCTGGAATTTTGTTGATGGTATGAGGTGAGACTCCAGCTTGAACCCCATTCCTTTTCCTGAGGAACCCGATGTTTCTGAAATGTGATTTGCTAAGTCTTCCCTTTTCTGCTCTTTGTGCTGGGCTAGCGATCCTGGTATGTTGATGTGTTGTCTCTTCTGTTGCATTGTTTTAATTCTAGTAATGGTGTTTTTTTTGTTTTTTGGAAAGGCTTTGAAGCGGCAGGTGTCTGATTTACAGGAAGATCTGAAAAGAAAGGAAGCAAAGTGGTCCAGTACACAAGGCCGTCTTAGAAGCCAGATAGAAATGTTGGTCAGAGAGAACACTGACCTCCGGGAGGAAATAAAAGTGATGGAAAGGTTCCGACTGGATGCCTGGAAGAAAGCAGAAGCCACAGAGAGCAGCACCAGGATGGGTCAGTGTGTGACCGCCTCAAAGAAAGATGGGTTCTTGGTAGGTTTTGTCACCTTATCTCTGTTGTTGTTTAGTCGGCTCAGTCGTGTCCGACTCTGCGAGACCCCATGGACTGTAGCCCGCCAGGCTCCTCTGTCCGTGGGATTCTCCGAGCAAGAGTACTGGAGTGGGTGGCCATTTCCTCCTTCAGGGGATCTTCCTGACCCAGGGATCAAACTGCGTCTCCTGTGTTACAGGCAGATTCTTTCCCACTGAGCCACCAGAGAAGCCTCTGTCACCCTGGGGAGATGCTGAATATTTGGGGAGTTGGATTCATAGAAAGATATGAAGGGTGGGTGCCAGGGCCGGGGAGGGGAGGAGGAGGAGCTGCTGTTTCCTGAGTACAGACTCAGTTTTGTGAGGTAAAAGCTCTGGAGATGGTGGGGCGACTGCACAGCGGTGTGAGCGTACTTAAACAATGAACTGATTTGAGAAGTTTGAGATGGTAGTTCTATGTGTATTTCACCACAGTTAAATTCTTCTTTTGTGCATTGTAAAGATTTCAAACTCGTTTTTATGATTTTTTTAAACCACTGTACCATGAAGGAAGTCCCACTTTTAATCTTTTTTTTTAAAAACTTCTTATTTATTTATTTATGGCTATGCTGGGTCTTTGTTGCTGTGCACGGGCTTTCTCCAGTTGCAGGGAGTGGGGGTTCCTCTAGTTGTGTGGGCTGACTGCAGCGGCTTTTCTTGTGGCACACGGGCTCGGGGCATGCAGGCCCAGCAGCCTGAGGGCTCAGTGGCTGTGGCTCACAGGCTCAGTTGCTCTGTGGCGTGTGAAGTCTTCCCAGACCAGAGGTCGAACCTGTTTTCCCTTGCATTGGCACATGGATTCTTAACCACTGGGCCATCAGGGACATCCCTCATTTTGATAATTCTTATATAGGAATTATAACACAGTAGGCAGGTAATCTCAGTTAAAACAGGGTAAGTAAATTTTCTGCAGAGATCCTCTTTTTTTGGTGCATATGATCCTTTTGAATCAACTGTTTGTTTTTTTACTCATCTATATTCACGGCTGTGATGTGCAGACACTGAGGCACTGGGGATCAAGCAGTGAACAAAACAGACTTCTTGTCCTCTTGAAACTTGTATTCCAGTGGTGGAAGAAAGATGAGTGTTGGACATCGTGTGTGAGGTTGTGATGAGAACTAAGGAGAAAAAGCAAGGAAGTGGGATCCCTGTTGGGGGAGCGTGTTGGAGTTTCTGTCCAGCATCTGGGGAAAGCCCTCCTGAGAAAGCGAGGTTTGAACAACGGCCAGGAGAGGGTGCAGTGAGCCAGGATAAGACGGTTTGGGAGTCCGAGGACAGAGGAGCCCTATGGTTGGTGTGGCTGGAGCAGAGTCCATCCTGGGGAGCAGAGCAGGGTGTGAAATTGGAGATGGGCTACGAGTGGCCGGTGCAGCTTTCCTTAGGCCTTAATCACTTCCCAGAACACTGCCTTTTCTTCTGAGTGAGATCTCGAACTCTCGGAAGGATGCCTGGGAGGGGCGGCCCCCCCTGCTGCACACATGAGAGTGGACTGAGGCAGGCTGCGGGCACCACCTGAGTATTGGAGGACTGCGGCCTTAGACAGAGACTAGTGGCTGAGGCTGCGGAGCAGTTGGGGAGGGTGGAGTTGTGGGCGGGATTTTAGTGATAAAACTGGGTGTGGGGTGTGACAGCAGGAAAGCGGGCTTCCAAATCAAGTGTCATCTTTTTTTGGCCATTTACCATGAGTCCCCTCAAAAGAGAGTACATGTTTCCGGGGGTGTGGATGTTAGGAGCTCAGGTTAGGTCAGGTGAGTTTGAATTGCCTGCTGGACATCAGGTGGACATAGGGCGGAGTTGGATGTATATCCAGAGAAGGTCAGGTCTGGGTTAAAAGTTTGGGGCCCTCAGAATGTGTGGGAGAGACCACTAGGGCTGAAGGTATGGATGGCGAGAAGAAAGAACCAGAGCTGAAGTGGGGAGGTTAGTGTGGGCCAAGTACAGCAGGCAGAGAGACCCGTGCCTCAGAGGCTGCTGCTGAGTAAGGTGAGGGCTGACAGTGGATCCTCGGATTTGCCAGAGGAAAGCCTGACTGGGTGAGAGAGTGAGACGCTTCAGACAGAGGGTAAAGTTTTGTGCAGAAGTCTTGTAGTAAATACAAGGAAATGGGGTAGTAGCTGTAGGGGAAGTTTTTTATTTTTGTTTTGTTTTAAGATGGGAAAATTAACAAGTGTTTATGTATTGGTAGGACTGAGTATGCGGAGAGGGAAACCTTGATGCAGGAGACAACGCGAGGGTTGTTGAAGCGGTGTGCACACGGAAAGGAGCTGGGGCTTGAGGGGTGGAGGCACTGGCTTGGACGTCTGTGCCTGGTAATAGGGCGGCTCAGGTGTGGACCCAGAGCTGGACATGGGGGAGCCCTTGGTGGGAAGTTCCCCCAACCCTTTACCTTTTCTCAGAGAAGTGGAAAGCCTGGCTCTCTGCTGAGAAGGAGGATGGAGGAGGCTCTGGGAGCTTTGAGGGGAGGGAGGGAGGAGAAATCGGGGTCCGCAAGAGCGGAAAGTGAGGGGGAAATGTGGTCTGACTCCACAGAGGTTAGAGATGGTATGTTTCAAGTAGGAGTTGTTTGTTATTTTTTCTTATTCAGCTTTTTGAGTGTAAATGGTAGACAGCAGAGGTTTGTCAACCTGGTGAATACCAGAGTAAGAGGGGTGTGGAAGTTGACAGTATATATAGCAAGAGTGTCTGCAATGAGCCATAATTTCAGGCTGCTCAAGAAGGGCAGAGGTTTTGGGGGGATGCAGGAAACACGGTCAGTGGATTGTGGGAGCCTGCAGACTGTAAGCCTTGGAGGAGGGAGGGTGTCAGCGGGGTGAGCTGGGAGGACAGGATGTGGAGTCAGAGGGTGAGATTCCCCCCTCCCAACCATGTTATTTTGAAAACTGAGCCAAACACATTTGAAAGAATAGTATGATGAATACCTGAACTCTCACCTAGATCCAGACATTGTTCACATCTTGCCACATTTCCATGTAAAGTGTTTTGTTGAACCATTTGAAGGTAATGGCAGAAATTGTGGCATCTCACCCCTAAATACTTTGGCACTTTATTAAATGGCACTGGCTTTTTGAATGATTATTATTTTGTAGATTGCTCTGAAATTGATACTTTTGCAGCTCTTGATAATTGCAGATATTGATAATGACTAGTTCCTTTGTCCACTGGAGTACTTAGCTGAGGTGGGAGAGAGTGGTCTAGAGGTGGCAGCTATGGCATCATCTCCTGACAAGTGGGGTACGTGAATGAGACCAGCTGGGCAGGAGAGAAGGATATCTGGCTGGAGGAGGAGATGGGAGCAAGGAGGACATCTCCCTTGACCTCTAACCCCGGGGGGTGGGAGGACAGTGTGTGCAGTCTCCTGGGTCTGACCATGCATTCCAGCCCTCTCCTCTGACAGCTCTGGTAACATCACAGAAACTGTTGTTTCACACTGCTGTGCGTCACTTGAGGAGAGAATGTATTTTCAGAGGTGGCATGTGAGTATGTGTGTAGTCCATTCCTAGAAGCAGCTGGTTCACTCTGGCCTGTTCACTCAGTATACATGAAAACAGCACAAATTGAACACACTTAAAATATTCCTTTTGCAAGCTGAGTTCTGTTACTTTCTTTCCTTGTACTAATGTGTAGACTAATTTTATATTCAACATTTTCTCATACTATAGAATTCATCAGTTCGATTTCAAAAGAGTCAGATTTCTTCAGGAACCCAGGTAGAAAAGTACAAAAAAAATTATTTGCCAACACAAGGTAAGATAGTTGCATGATCTTTTTATAAAATATTTTAGAAATTTAAAGAGTGGAGAATTTACATCAACTTAATAGAAATAAGATATTTTAAATATAACTGAAGCCCCTGTGTATCCTCCTTCCAGTTAATTTGCACCCAGACCACATTCCCTTTCTTATTTTTCATTCTTTTAGTACATTGTGTCCATAAATCAATGTAGTGTTGTGTCATACTCCATCCCTCTGCCATTTGCTTTCTCTCTCAGTATTTTAAGACCTACCCTCAGTAATATATATAAACTCCAGCTGTACATATTCCATGTATATTTGCCACAGTTAAGCTGTCTTGTTGATGGGCATTCAGGTTTTCCATGTCTGTCACAGAATGAATAGGACAAGTCTTTGTCATGTGAGTTTCTCTCAGACAAATGTCTGGGGTAGGATATTGGGTCACATCAGGTTTGTCTCAGTTGAGGAGATGTTTGGGTTCGATCCCTGGGTTGGGAAGATCCCCTGGAGAAGGGAATGGCTACCCACTCCATTATTCTGGCCTGGAGAAATCCATGGACTATACAGTCTTTGAGATCACAGAGAGTCGGACACAAATGAGCGACTTTCACTTCCCTTTGCAGTTTTTTTTTTTAATTGTGAACAGAACATGCTCTTTGTGTTTGCTAACACATGATCTTCTTAGACTTTAATTTGGCCAGTGAGATGGGTGTGAAATGAGGAGTCACTGTCATTTTAATATGCATTTCCCTGATTACTGATGAGGTAATGTGAGCATCTTTTGATTTTTAGTGGACATTTGAGTTTCCTCTTGTGAATTGCCTGTTCATCTCTTTTGCCCTTTTAAAACTGTGTGTGTGCTTGTAAGGTTTTGCTTATTAAAGTTAGTTATAAGCACTGCCAATATCTTCTACTTATCTATATTTAGCTCTTTGGTTTGTGTTTCTTTATACATGTGTTTTTCCTTTTAATATTGAATTTAATCAATTTTTAAAAAAAAATGGTTTTTGCTTTTTGTGACTAAGAAATCCTTCTCAAACATCAAGTCACAAATACACTATTTTCGTCTATGAACTTTTGTTTTCACAGCTGGGTCTTTAATCTGCTTGGAAGTTTTAGAAAGTATTTCTGTAAATTAAATTTATAGAAGTGGATATAACATATGTGGTTTGAAAATGATAAAGGAAATATGAGTAACCACTTCCTACAATAAGAATTAGCAACACCTCAGAACTGCCCCCTCTGTGATCATATTACATTGCTTTTCCTTGAAAATAGTTTCTACTTTCATGGGTATAATCCTAAAAAAATGTTTTACTTTTTTTGAGCTTTCTGAGGAGTCAGTCATGCTGTATGTATTGCATTGTCTTCTTTACTACGTGTTTTTGAGATTAAGTCTTGTTGATCTAGTTCACTAATTTTCACTGCAAGGTAGTATTAGTATTCCATTTATGAATATATTACAGTTTGCTATTTTTCTGTTGATGGTTAAGTTTTTCTTAAGTTTTGGGATGTTAAGCAATGATGCTGTGAACTTTCCTACACATTTCTGGTACACATTCATTTCTCTAAGACATATACCTAGGGCTAGTTACTGAGTAATTTGTAGGAATATCTTTAACAGATATTGCCAAAATACTTTTCCAAAGTGATTTTACTCTCTCACCAGCAATGTAAGTGCTTGCTTTGCTCCACATCTTGTTATTACTTGATTTTCAGAATCAAATTCATGCCAGTCTGTTAGGAGTGTATCTGTATCTCATAGTTTTAATTTGCATCACCATTACTAAATATGTTGAACACATTTGCTTGTGTTTAGTAGCTGTTCAGAATTCATCTTGTGAGAAGAAATTGATGAGATCTTTATTTTGTGGAGTTGTCTTTTTCTTTATTGTTTGTGGGAGGGTCCCCACATCTTCATAATCCTGTAACAGTTTCATATATTGCAGGTATCTTCTCCCAGTGTATACCTTGTCTTCTTACTCTTTATATGTTAAAGATATAAAAAGCATCTTTTTAAATTGAAATATATCTGACATATAACATTGTGTAAATCTGAGGTGTACATCATGTTGATTTGATGTATTTAGATATTGTAATGTGACTGTCAAGTGTGGCCATTACCTAGCACCTCTATTAAATCACATAGTAATGATTTCTTTTTTAGTGGTTGTAATAATTAAGATCTAGTCTTCTTAGCAAGTTTGATGATTATAGCATAGTATTGTTGTCTGTATTCACTACACTGTGCTTTGTATCTCTAGGACTTATTTACAGCTCACTGCAAGTTGGTATACCCTAACTTCCACCTCCTAGCCCTTAGTAACCACCGTTTTATTCTGTTTTAATGTGTGGCTTTTTGAAATTCCACATATAAGTTATACCATACAGCAATATTCCCTGGTATATATGTACCACATTTTCTTCATTCATTCATGGAAGGGCACTTTAGGTTATTTCCATATCTTGACTATTGTGAATAATACCGCAGTAAACATGGGAATGTATATAATCTCTTCAATATCCTGTTTCCATTTCCTTTGGATATATATACTCAGAAGTGGAATTGCTGAATTGTATGGTAATTCTGTTCTTAATTTTTTGAGGAATGTGCATGCTGTTCCCTAGTGGCTGTACCAATTTGTATTCCCACCACCATTGTACAAGGGTTTCCTGTTCTCCACATCCTTGTTACCTAACAGGATAACACTTGCTATCGCGTGTCTGGGTTTTTTGTTTTTCTTTTTTTGATAGCCATTGATATGCATTTCTCTCATGAGTAGTGATGTTGAGTATCTTTTCATGTATCTCTTGGTCATTTGGATGCCATGTTTAAAGATATTGTCTAGTTAGTTCCTCTGCCCGTTTTTATTTATTTTTTAAAAACAATCTCAAAGTTTTAGTATACGTCCTGCCGAAGCGAGCACATAAACAATCTCAAATCTTTATTGTCTTCTTCATAAAACAAAACATGAAGCTTAAAACTGGATCATTTGGCCCTTTCTCTTATCTCCTCCCAGCCCAAAATACTTGCATCTCTTAATAACGAGCATTCTCTTAGATCTGCAGTTGGGCTCAATGCCTCAATGCATTCAAGCCTCAGTACAATCTCTGTAGTTTTAGCCTTTTTCTGGAAAATCGGCGTAGTCTGCCCACCATGGCCCCTCTGCTTCCTGTCATGACACTGCTTTCCTTGGGGATGCAGAGAATCCTTGCTTTTCTTGTTCTGGGTCACTTTTGGGAGTTGGTGCTTGCCATCCTTAGTTCAGCGGCCTTTAGAAATTTTCACTGTGTTTACGAGAGTGCTGCCAGCACAGAAAGCCCTCAACCCATTTTTAAATCATATTTTTTTGTGCTTTGTTTTTTAATTATTGAGTTGTATGTGTTCTTTAGGGCCTCCCAGGTGGTGCTAGTGGTAAAGAACCCACCTGCCAGTGCAGGAGACATAAGAGACATGGGTTTGATCCCGTGGTTGGGAAGATGCTCAGGAGAAGGGCATGGGACCCCACTCCAGTGTTCTTACCTGGAGAATCCCTGGGACAGAGGAGCCTGGTGGGCTACAGTCCATAGGGTCGCAGAGTTGGACACGACTAAAATGCATGCATGAGTTCTTTATATATTTTATATATTAACTTTTTGATAGATGGTTTATAAAAAATTTCTCTCATTCTGTAGGTTATTGATTGTTTCTTTGCTGGGCAGAAACTTTTAAGTTTGCTTTTGGTGTTTGTGCTTTTGATGTTATATTCAAGAAATTATTGCCAAGAATGTTGTTAAGGAGCTTCTTTCTTATGTTTTGCTCTAGAACTTTTATAGTACCAGGTCTTATGTTTAAGACTGATCCATTTTGAGTTCATTTTGTGAGTGGTGTGAGGGAGATCCAATTCCATTTTTCTGCATGTGTTCAGTTTTTGCACTGCTTTATAAAGAGACTGTGCATTCCCCTCCATTGGGTGTTCTTGACTCCTTTGTTGACTATTAGTTGATTGTATATGTGGGTTTTTGGTTGTTTTCTATTCTGTTCTAGGGGCATTTACATTAGTTGATCATTGATATGTAAGGACTTACAACTGCCACCCTATTGATTGCTTTCTTTTGGTTTTCTATTTCCATTGTTTTCATTTTCCCCCCGTTTCTGCCTACTTCTGTAAACTTTTTTTCCCATGGTGGTGTGCTTCATTGCTTGTTTTGTTGTATTTGTGGGTTAACTCTAGATTTTTGCTTGTGGTCACCATGTGACCTACATAAAACATCTCACAGATAAAACAATCCGCTGTATGCTATTAGCAGCTTATCATTATAAAGGCTCCACCACCCTTTTATGTTTTGATGTCACAGTTTGCCTTTTTTATGCTCTGATTTCAGTAGCATTACAGTAGCTTGAGTTTTTGGGTTTTTTGCAGCACTGCATAGCCTGCGGGACCTTAGTTCCTCCATCAGGGACCGAACCTTTACCTCCTACAGTGAAAGGGCAGAGTCCTCACCACTGGACTTTCAGGGAATTCCATAGCTGGAGTTTTAAAAAATATTCTTTTCCTTTAAACTTTATACTGTAATTAGGTGAATTAGGTTTTTTCTTTTTATCTGACTGTGCATATTCACATTTACCAATGTGTTGTGTACTTTCATGTTGTCTTGTTGCTGGTTAGCATCTTTTTGTTTCTACTTGGAGATCTCCTTTCAGCATTTCGTGCAGTGTCTTATAGGTCAGGTGATGCTAACCTACCTCAGTTTTTGTCTGGGAAAGCCTTTATTTCCCCTTCATATCTGAAGGATAACTTTGCTGGATAAAGTAGTCTGGGTGGGCAGTTTTTGTTTGATACTTTGGCTATGTCGTTTTCCTCTCTTGGCCTGTGGGTTTCTGCTGAGAAATCCACTTAGAGCCTAAGACTGTGCTTTCATAGTTACTTCTTTTTTTCCCCTGGCTGCCTTGAAGGTTTATTACCATTGATTTAGGAAGTTCTGACCTATTATTTCTTTAAATAATAAAAGCTCTGAGTTTTTTAAACTCTGTGCCCCTTTCTACAGCTCCTCTTCTGAAACAATAGTTAAATCAAGTATTTGCCCTTCTAGTGGGAATCCAATAGCTCTTTTTGGCTTTCTTAGTTTCATCTGCTTTTCTAGCTGTATTATTCTTGAATTCATGTTTTCCAAGTCACTTGTTTTTTCCATCTGGTCTGCTCTGCAATAGATGCTCTCTGTTGGCATTCTTCATCTGTCATCGAATTCTTCACCTCCAGGATTTGAAGTAGCAGATACTTCCTTAACAAAGCTTTTATGACTTCGTTGGTTCCTTCACTTCACCAGGCTGGCTGCTAGAAACCTTTCTTTTGTTTTCCAGGAGGTAGGGCCATCAGTCAAGTTTGTGCTTCCTTCCCTGTCCACAGACTGACTGTGGCCTATTTTCTGAGCACTCCACGCAGACACACAAGGAGCTGGCAGCAGTGGGGGTGTCGGTTCAGGGTTTTGAGGTGCCCGTGGGCCCAGGGGGCGATCCTTGAGTGGAATGGGTGGACCTCCAGTAGAGGTCCTGCAGTGGACAGCAGGAACTGCATCCCTCCATTCCTGTGATGTTCTTACCTGCTCCCCTCCCCTTTTCCTGACTCCCCTGATGTGGAGGTCCAGTCCCTCCTCAGAAGTTCAGGTGCTCCTGGAGAGAAAGTGGCTTCTGAGCCACATGGCAGGCGGCTGGGCAGCCACTCCCCACTCAAGCTTTCCATGTCCTCCTCGGGAGAGATGATCTGCCACCACCACAAAGCTCAGATCCGTGCACTGTCCCCTGGGTTGGGGGCAGCTCTGTCGGGTTTCCCTCTGCTCTGTACAAACTCATCTCTGTCCTGTGCTGGTAGCCTGCTCGTCTACCCTGGATGTCTCCAGGTTTTTCCTCCCATGGTGAGTGGGAATGGGGCGGGTTTGCTGAGTCCCTTGGGTCCACAGCTTCTACTGAGGTCTGGTCTATCTTCAGATGAACAGGTGGGCAAGAATCCCCCCAGATCCCTGGGTATAAGGCACTGGGGCACTTTTGTTCAGTTACAAATGTCAAGTTAGTTTAAGGGGAAAGAGGAATGGCTTAACTGCCATGATGCTGATGTCACCTTAAAAGTTCCCCAATTTCTTTAATGTAGTTGAATTTCACTTCTTTATGGGTAGTCCTTTTGCCTATAAAATGAGAATATTAGTCTCTTCTGTGGAGGGTGGTTACAGGATTCAGAGGTGATGTTAACACAGAGCTCAGACTGCAGTGTGGTTTTTGTGCCTGTGACATGGAGGAAGTTGGTCATTTAGCCAAAACCTGTGTGTGCTCCTTGATTCCTTTTATCTTTACTCGCCCCCCCCCCCCCCCCCACATTCCCATCCATCCTTAAACTAATCCTCTGATGTTTTCTGAATCGATTAAGTAGGTTGAACCGTATGACATTGCTAGTACCTGGCAACTTGGGATCCTTGGGTCTGTTGTTTGACACAGCACACACTGCCGTCTCCACACACGCCCACGCCTGCTTAGTGGACCCTCAGCCTCTGCCCTTCTCCATTCGTGGAGCACTCAGGATCCATTCTGGTTTTTTACACTTAAGTCAGATCCTGGCACTTGAGCTTGAAACCCTTCAAATTTAGGACTGCTATCCGTTGGCATATAGAAAGACAATATTAGGACTTTAGTGCCTTTTAAACCTAACTTCGGTTTGTTGTTGCTGTGGTGGTGTGGTGTCTATGTGTGCACGTATGCACACATGCGTGCTTATTTTATAATGTGTGTTTTCCTAATGCACGATACAGTTGGGTGTATAGGTCATGATCTAAAAAGTTTAGACCATAGCCATTAGGTCTATCCAGTTTCTTTTTCAAGCCAGATTCTCTGTCTTTCTGGATGCTTCCACTCTTTGTTCTCCATTTCTGCCCTCTTAACTAAAGGCCCTGGTGACTATCTCCAGAACACCTTCAGGTTCATCTGTTAGGTTGGTTGAGCACTTCTTTCTCCAGAAAGAGGTTGTAAACTTTCAGAAAACAGATACTGTCTTTGTCTTTCTTGGTCATCAGGACTTAAGTATTTGAATAAGCATTTTAATTTATATAATGAAGAACTAGGAATTAGTAAAGAAAAATACTAAAACTTTCTTAAATAATGGGTAAAGAAGAGTTGAACTAAGGAAATGTTTGACCATAGTATTGAGTAAACTTAAATCTTCCAATTAAATAATCAAACTAACTGGCAATAATATTCTAACAGGCAGTGCATCTCAAAGATCCAAGTCTGAGCCTCGTGATTTAGGCAGCTCAGAGAAGGGACAGGTAAATCTTTGTTTTTATATATTCAGACATACTTCTTAGGCTTACAGTTGATTAGTGAACTGGTTTAAGTTTCAAAACCATTTATAAAGGAAGCTTTTTACTTAACATCATAAAGGTTTTCTATGCAACACTAGTCGTAGAATCCTATAATGGTGACATCTGGCTTTTGGATGTTAAGTGTTAAGTTTTAGCTGCTTGAGATTTTTATTACATGTCATATAGCACAGACTAAGAGCCTCCTGTCCTTATAGATGGCCTCACCCAGGGAGCTGCCTGAACCAGTGAACTTTTCAGATCCTGATTATAAAGAGGAGGATGAAAAAGAGGAAATTCAGGGAGAAATCAGCCATCCTGATGGAAAGGTTACCTTTTTTTAAAAAATTAATTCTATAAAAAATAGACATGGATTAAAATATAGTTGAAACAGATTCTGAAATCATTGACTTTTGAGACTTGATGGGGCTTAAGGTCTTCAATGCTTTGGCAGATGTCCTCAGCCTGAACCTTTGGACTACTCTGAAAACACCTGATAAATGAAAATGCATTTATTTGCTATTTCTAACTGAGAGATGCAACAAGAGGAGGAGTACAGTCCCATCGTTGAAACTCTTGTTCTTGCTCCGTATATGGCTGAATGCCTTGGTAATCCCTTGTACTTGTAAAAGCCTCAGTTCTATGCCCTACTCCTCCTTAAATATTTCCTGGATTAGCTGCTTCTCTGCTCCATCCCAACAGTATTATTCCTGTGCTTGGGAAAGGTTCTGAGTGGGAACAGCCTGGCTGGGTGCTCCAGTTAAAGAATGAAGGACAAGGGAAGGGACATAAACAGGGTTTGTTACTGAGGCAGTGGTGAGGGGATTTTTCCTTAGGTTTCTAGAACATGTACTCTCTAGGTTCTTTGATCCACTTTAATAGAAATGAGAAGGTTGAAGTTCACTGTGAATTGTGAGGAATGAGTGAAGGACAAAGACCAGCAATCAGAAGGAAGTTGTTACCTCTATCCTAAAGTAGTTTTCCTGTACACTCTACTTTCAGTTCAGTTCAGTTCAGTCGCTCAGTTGTGTCCGACTCTTTGTGACCCCATGAACCGCAGCACGCCAGGCCTCCTGTCCATCACCAACTCCCGGAGTCCACCCAAACCCATGTCCATTGAGTCGGTGATGCCACCCAACCATCTCATCCTCCATCATCCCCTTCTCCTTCTGCCCTCAATCTTTCCCAGCATCGGGGTCTTTTCAAATGAGTCAGCTCTTCACATGAGGTGGCCAAAGTATTGGAGTTTCAGCTTCAGCATCAGTCCTTCGAATGAACACCCAGGAATTGGAGTTTCAGCTTCAGCATCAGTCCTTCCAATGAACACCCAGGACTGATCTCCTTTAGGATGGACTGGTTGGATCCCCTTTCGATCCAAGGGACTCTCAAGAGTCTTCTCCAATACCACACTTCAAAAGCAACACTCTACTTTCGGGTAACAAATTGTTGATGAGGAAGTGTTTTCTTTTTTCGAAGAGGAATGAGAATAAGAGGATATCACCAGTGTACAAGGGCTAATGAAAGGAAAGGTCTTGGGCAGCAGTCATCAGCAGCTGCTGAAACCTCAGATGAAAGGTTGACAGGTCTCATGATGCCACCCAGTCAGTGCTGAGGTCGTGAGGCAGCTACGTACTTACTGGACACACTGTCATACAGAGCCCACTGCTATACCTAAAAGGCATTCGTCAGAATAATTCACCTGGAATGTAATCAAGCCTTTAGAGTAACTACTGGGTTTTTTAAGGAAAAACGGGATATGAGAACATGTTAACTGACACAAAAATAGAAAAGCAATTGGCCAGATCCAGAATGTGGTCAATATTATATGTTCAGTGACTCAGTTCCTTCAACAGTTGGCATTAAAATGGGGAAAGGAAGGGACCATTAAAAATTGAGATTGGAGAGACACATCAACCCAAGTGTGTGTGGACTTTGTTTTCATCCATATTCAAGTAAACCATACAAAGCCTTTTTTTTTTGGTGAATTTATGAAAAACAGTGTGAAGGTTATGATATAATGAGGGAATTACAGTTTGTTAGGGATGGTAATAGTTTCCTTCTGATTGCTGGTCTTTGTCTTGTCCTTCACTCATTCCTCACAATTCACAGTGTTCCAGTAGAGAGATTTGTTGAAGTGTTTACAGCTGAAGTGATAATCTGAAGTTTGCCTAAAAAAACAACTGAAAAGTTTGGGGGGAATAGGTGACTTAAGAATGGACATGATGTGCTAATAGGTGAAGTTGATTGTTTTGAATTGGAACTTTTCTCTCTGAGAAATGTTTTAATTTTTATTATGAAAAATATCAAAGTAAGCAATTTATAAGAATTAGGGACGTTTTTGTCATGTGGTCTCAGGAAATTTTTGCTAGTTTGGTTTTCTTTTTTGTAGATAGAGAAGGTTTATAAGAATGGGTGCCATGTTGTATTGTTTCCAAATGGAACGCGAAAGGAAGTGAGTGCAGATGGGGAGACCGTTACTGTCACTTTCTTCAACGGTGATATCAAGCAGGTCATGCCAGACGGGAGAGTGGTAGGTTTCCACAGGTGTGTTTTCTCTATAGCATAAATAGCCCTGAAGGAGCAGCAGCGCTGACTGCATGTCTTTACAGATCTACTACTATGCAGCCACGCAGACTGCCCATACCACGTTCCCAGAAGGGCTGGAAGTTCTACATTTCTCTAATGGCCAGATAGGTGAGAACCTGTTCTACCCTCTCAGTTCTATTAAATTCTTCCTTCCGTTAAAAATAAAATATTTATAATAACCCCCTTTCTTATAGAAAAACATTTCCCAGATGGAAGAAAAGAAATCACATTTCCTGACCAGACAATCAAAAACTTGTTTGCTGATGGACAAGAAGAGAGCATTTTCCCAGATGGTACAGTTGTCAGGGTACAACGGTATGTTACCTATTAAGTTGGTTTCTAGTTTTCAACTTTCAATTAGTAATGAAGTTTAAAAATCTTAAAACTTTAATAAGTCATTCAACATTTTAGTGAGTTCAGAATCTGAGAGCAGGTAAGATATGTTTGCAGCACTTTAGAATTTAAGACAAGTTTGAGACCAGTGGAGTCTAACGTTTGCTTAGTGTTTAGTCTAGAGCTCTAAAGGATATGTAAAGAGCACTTCACGAAAGGAAGATGGCAGATACTTATTTAGAAATAAGTTTGGTGAAATTTGGAAACAGTGAGTGAGACACAGAAGGGAAGCTTCCCTGTCAATTTTTAAGAATAACTGGACTTTGTATTTTGATATTCTGGGTCTCCCTGTCCCAGCCTAAGCACTTTACTCTTCTGGCTTCTCTAAGCCAATTCCAAATTAACAGTTTCTTTCTTTATCCTTCTGAATGTTAAATTTCTTGAAGTCAGAGATGACTTCTCTAATCCACAGTGAAGAGCATCTTATAGGTATCAATATAATTAAAACCATAATAGAGGTTTGTCAGATCCAGTCCTGTTTTTAGTTTCACCCTCCTTTCCTGGAGTGTAAGCAGTTAAGTACCCATTAACTTGAATTATGTGATGTAAACTTGGCAATAATGTAGGAACTACTTATGGTCATGGCTGTTTTTCCCTTATTATGGTCTGAAATCTGGTGGTCTGTATCAGGTGCTCAACTAAAGAAAATTTGAGGAAGATCTTATGTGTACAGAATAGATTTCAGAAACTTCTCCATTTTGACTCTTACAAAAAGTTCCCTAGAGCCATCTGTTTAATCTCATGACCAGTCTTTTCTCGTCTGTATTCAGACACATCCCATGTTATTAGTTCATTCAGGATTATCATTTTTAAATTGAGGTGTAACTGAAATATGACATTAGTTTCAGGTATACCACAAAAATTTACTAGATATTTGTATATATTGCAGAATGATCACAAAAGTCTAGTTAACATTCATCATCACACATAATTACATGTTTTTCTTGTGATAAAAACCTTGATTCTCTTAGCAGCTTTTGAATGTGCAATTCATTCAGGATAATTGTGCAGTTTTTCGCTTACAGCAGTGGTTCTCAAACTTCAGGGTGCATCTGAATCTGGAGGGACTGTTCAAGGGCTTGTTGCTGGGCCCCACTCAAATAATTTGCAATTCTAGTGAGCTCTTGGGTGATGCAGACACCACAGGGCCACACTTACTAAAGCAGTGGCTCTCTAACCTTTGTATGTGGCAGGGACCCACATATGTGTTCATACAAAATTTGAGAAATAACCAAAATAGAAAAAAACATTCTGTGTTGAGAAAGCGCCCTAGCTTTGTTTTATAATGGGACATTATCCTTAAAATAAGGACCAGGGATGCTCTTGGAGAAGGAGTAACTGCCAGATTTCTCCTGCTATAATATTCATGTTTTTATAAAGGAATTAAATTCTATTTAAAATTTACAGAGATGGCAACAAAATCATAGAGTTTAACAATGGCCAAAGAGAACTGCACACGGCCCAGTTCAAGAGACGGGAGTATCCAGACGGCACTGTGAAAACTGTGTACACAAATGGGCATCAGGAGACCAAGTACACATCTGGTCGAGTAAGAATGAAAGACAAGGACGGTAATGTGCTCATGGACACAAAACTGTCATGAAACTTGTGTGACTCATCATGAAATGACACTAACTTGATTTTCTTGTTAAAAAGAAATGTACATTTCTTGTGGATTCTGTGGTTTAATTTATATACTCTGTGTCTGTGCGTCTGTGTGTATATATAAATAAATAGAAAAGACTTTGGAGTATAAAACTTCTTGCTTTTTATGTTTGAAATGAACAGGGGCAGCTTTCATTTTTAATTCACCTCCCTTGTCTTCTATGGTCATAACCAGCATAGACTTTAATAAGGGGATGCTTTCTATGGTTGGTGATGGCTATGAAAACCAGGAAGTACAAGAAATACAGTATCACGTAGTTTTTTATCACACAGATTTTCCTACTGCCTGTCAGCCCTATCAAGGTCATGTTCGAAACATCACTGAAGGAGGAATCATTTCTCCACTCACTATTACTATACTCAGTCAGTGCTGAAATTAAAGCATCGTATCTATCACCAAGGTCATAGAATGGGAAATTAAAACAATGAGGGACTATACAAATCAAACAGGTAAGAAGAGTTCATTCTGCGAGTGCAGATCTCATGGGAGGAGAAAGCAGCTGTAATGAGGGTGATATCTGGTCGAAACAGGACACGTGAGAAAGGTGGGGCCTGAGAAACAACCAGGCAGTGTTAAAAAGTTTTCAGAGAAATAAGGAATTATATTTATGTAACCTCAGGATAGAAAGCCATTTTTGCTTTTGGTTGGGGGGCCCACGCTATACAGCTTCTGGGATCTCAGTACCCCAACCCAGGAATGAACTCAGGCCACAGCAATGAATGTGCCAAATTCTAACCCCTAGATCACAAGGTCCACCCTTGAGAAAGACTTTTAAATGAGACACAGCACAAATTTTAGAAGTTAATGAGTCAAAAGTTTGTCCAAAGATACCCCAAAAAGAAGTCACAGACTAGAAAAAGATACACTTATCTGACAAAGGATTAATAACCCAAATACATTAAGAAGCCTTACTAGTTAAAATTACCAAAGATATGAATGAGCAATAAACAAGCAACTAAACCAGTGAATGCATATTACAAAAATGAAGTATCTCTTTATAGTAGTATCATAAACTGGCAAATAATGGTCTGGTCACACTGCATGTCAGGAGGGAACTCAAGACTACTAATGGTAGAGGTTAGTTTGAAAAACAATTACCTCAGAACTTAGTAAATTCCATTAGTAAGTATATTCACTAGAAAACCACTCATAGGTACAGAGAGGCTCCTACTGTAGAATAACTCTTATTGAGAAAAAACTGGTAACAACCTAAAGATCTAACAGGATAAATTATGTGCACAAAGGGATGTAACAATGCAAGTGAATAAAACAGAGCTATGCATATCAGTATGGATAAAATACTGTAAATAAAGTAGGGGGAAAGGCAACTGTGTGATACTGCACACACTTAAAAATATACAGAACTGTATATTGTTTATGGATGCCTACATATACAGTAAAATTATAAAGACCTATATAAGCATGTGCTAAGTCGCTTCAGTCGTGTCCTACTTTTTGCGACCTCATGGACTAGCCCACCAGGCTCCTGTCCATGGGATTCTCCAGGCAAGAATACTGGAGTGGGTTGCCATGCCCTTCTCCAAGGTATATAAGCACAAGAAACACCAAATTCACAGTATTCACCTCCTTTGTAGGTAAGAGAATGATTGGGGAAGGGTAGAACAGGCGCCTACACCTGTGCTGACAATGTCTTATTTCTTAAACTGAATATATAGGACATATTTTTCCTAATGTGGCTAAAATATTTAAAAGTTAAAATAAGTAAATACTTGAAAGCAAATTTTTATTAACTTTTTTCAAACAGTTCTTAACAGTTCAACATGTAAGGAAAAAAAACAAAAAGCCCAGCACGATTGCAGAACAAGTGAAGAAAATAAGCTTGAAATGGTCTACATTGTAACAGAAAACTTTCTTCTGGGCTGCTACAGATGCTCTGTACTGTATACCTGAAAAAGAGAAATGTGTTATTTTAAACCGCTGCTTAATGTTCATATCTAGTTACTAAATTGTGTGTTAGACTTACGTGAATGGATAGAGTGTGAGCTATTTACTGATTAACCCTAATAATCTTTGTTATCAGGACACTGGTTGTCCAGTAGTATATGCAGAGGTAAGAGTTATGAGCTTGAGTTATATTTCAGTGCTGCTGTCTTCCTTAGACCCTGTAACTATCTGGTACCATGAACAATCAGGACAGCTGTTCAGTCCCAGCATTTTCACAACTATGGAACCTTTCTGATACTGGCACTCAGTAGTTTAGAAGGGCCTGTTAAGGAGAAATCTAGAAGACAAATTCTTGTTGAGCCTGGTTGTCATTCCTTAGAGGAACAGTGTGAACCTCTGCTGTGTCAGTGCTGTGTCTGAAGCTGACCATAAGGATGAACAAGAAGTCATGGTACTTACATCATTCATCTCGGTCTGCAAGCCCCATTTCTACTAATGACATATGAACTGGATACTGTTTATCTTCATATAAAGTCACCATTTGTTCTGGTACCTGAGCCTAAAATGAAAAAATCTTTGTCAAGAAAATACCATCATGTCTTTGCTGCCTGTTCCTCCTATAGCTGGCAAGAGAGACAAAGCATTCTCCAAGTTTGTTTATAAATTTGTACTATGTACTTTCAAAGGTATTTGTGATGGTTTCTTGCTAAATTCCATTCTTTCCGTCTTCTACTTTATTTGAAATGTAACTCATCCCCAAAGTTTTCCTGGATTGAGCCAATGGGCTCTCATTCTCATAGTACCTTCCTTGTTAAAATTAATTTGCACTGTACACATAAAGCATACCTTTATGCACATACCACATTTCGATTGTTGTTCATGAGGTGAATACACATGTATTTGTAAGAATACTTGGTCTGCTAGTATTTTCACTGGCTTCTTGAGAGAACCTTGCATAAGCTCTTTACTGCACACAGAGGAGTGTGATACGTACAGAGGTTTTCAAAAAGCACTTTTTAGTAACAGCACTGCTTCATTAAGAGCTCATTTTTGCCACAGCCAACATATCAGAAATCTCCAAATCTCAGGTCCCCAAATCAGGACAAGTTGGGCTGAAACAACACTGGTGAGGATGAAGCTGAACTGAAGAACATGTTTCCATCTAAAGGGACAGTTGCTGCACCACTTGTGCTGTCATTCCAGAAGATTTTATAATATTTAAATATATAAAATATTAGATTTTATAATACATAAAATATACAAATACTAGATTTTCTGACACTTAAAAACAGCAGAGTTTTGGTGTGTAATTTTCCAGTTTTAAAACAGCTGTGTTAGCGGGCGGAGAGGGAGGTGGGAGGGGGGATCGGGATGGGGAACACATGTAAACCATGGCTGATTCATGTCAATGTATGACAAGACCCACTGTAATGTTGTGGAGTGATTGGCCTCCAACTAATAAAAAACAAAACAAAACAGCTGTGTTATTAAACATGGGTACAGGTCAGAATCTGTGGGTCTCCCTTTTGTGTCTAAGCCTCTAAAGTAGAAAGCATATTAATACTGAGCATAACCTGGATTTTCTTTGAACCTTTTCATACAGTTCTATTACATTAAACAATTCGAACAGTATGAGTACCATGAAAACCACTTTCTCTGATTTTGACAATTTCGTTCTAATTTTTTGAACTTTTAGGATGCAGTTTAAATGTCACTTCTTCCCTGTCGTACTTATTCAACAAGCACTTGGTTTTCTACTGGGCAGGGGCTCAAATACCATATCCCAGTCTCTCCAGATAGAAATCATTCCTGCTTCTCCCTACGTCTCACCCCCAAATATCTGTACTTCTTTGATAACACTTAATTCATTCTACTTCTATTAGTGGTTTACTAACAGGACATTTCCCTCATTGACTTCAGTTCAGTCGCTCAGTTGTGTCCGACTCTTTGTGACCCCATGAACCGCAGCACGCCAGGTCTCCCTGTCCAACTCCTGGAGTCCACCCAAACCCATGTCCATTGAGTCGGTGATGCCACCCAACCATCTCATCCTCTTGTCCCCTTCTCCTCCTGCCCTCAATCTTTCCCAGCATCAGGGTCTTTTTAAATGAGTCAGCTCTTCACATCAGGTGGCCAAATTATTGGAGTTTCNAGGCAGGTCAGGTGGTCTGGTATTCCCATCTCTTTCAGAATTTTCCACAGTTTATTGTGATCCACACAGTCAAAGGCTTTGGCATAGACGACAAAACAGAAATAGATGTTTCTCTGGAACTTTCTTGCTTTTTCGATGATCCAGTGGATGTTGGCAATTTGATCTCTGGTTCCTCTGCCCTTTCTGAAACCAGCTTGAACATCTGGAAGTTCATGGTTCACGTATTGCTGAAGCCTGGCTTGGGGAATTTTGAGCATTACTTTACTAGCGTGTGAGATGAATGCAACTGTGTGATAGCTTGAGCAATCTTTGGCACTGCCTTTCTTTGGGATTGGAATGAAGACTGACCTTTTCCAGTCCTGTGGCCACTGCTGAGTTTTCCAAATTTGCTGGCATATTGAGTGCAGTACTTTCACACCATTATCTTTCAGGATTTGAAATAGCTCAAGTGGAATTCCATCACCTCCACTAGTTTTGTTCGTAGTGATGCTTCCTAAGACCCACTTGACTTCAGCCACTGTAAGGAGTAGTGGCTGCGCTTTGCTGGAGCAGCTGTGCAGAGATATCCCACATCCAAGGTAAGAGAAACCCAAGTAAGACGGTAGGCACTGAGATGGCATCAGAGGGCAGACAGACTGAAACCACAACCACAGACAACTAGCCAATCTGATCACACGGACCACAGCCTTGTATAACTCAATGAAACTAAGCCATGCTGTTTGGGGCCACCCAAGATGGATGGGTCATGGTGGAGAGGTTTGACAGAATGTGGCCCCCTGGAGAAAGGAATGGCAAACCACCAGTATTCTTGCCTTGAGAACCTCATTGACTTACCAGTTCTTTATAGAATATTAATCTGGATCATTTTTTTATCTCAGTCATTACATCCCTGATATTTTATATCATTGCAGGGCTAATCAAAAGCTTGTTATGTATAAACTAAGACATCATTTGAATGAGCCTTAAAATTAATCCTATAGTATTTACAGCATTATAAACTTTAAAGCATTTTACATGTAAAGCACTT